TGTGACTAGTTATCAAATGTCCAGATGTAATTTTCAAATATTTATTTATTTATTAATTAATGTGTACCTTTTTACATTTAAATTATAGTCTATAGTCTAAATTAATATAAAAGAATATCTTAAGGCCAACCATAGTATTTAACAATATGAATCAAAATTATAATATAATGACTTCTATGATTTATTATATGGCACAAATTAAATATATATTTGACCATATATTAAATATTTTATAATAATCTATTTATTCCTTTCAATTCAATCATATTATAAACCTGAGAAAAAGGTATTACATGTTAAATAATTTAAATTATAAAATAATTTAATGCCTTTTCCTTATATTTAAATCAATTTTTTAAATATATAAAATAAATTGATATATTTAATAAAAGATTTAAAATTTAAAAAAGAAAATCATATGATAATTTTTTAAATTAATTATCATTATCAATATATGGAAATAATAAATATTTGGCACTTCAATAAGTCAAATATAATTTTTTTTTCTTCAAAAAATAATTAATTAGGGTAATTAAGATTATTTGGTCGTTTTTATTTTACAATTTTAAAAATTAGTGAAGGACAAAGACCTTCTAGGAGTTTCTAGAAGTTTTTATAATTGAAATACTGAAAACAAAGTAGACGTTTCATAACTTTTTCGTTCGTTAATTCAATTATGGTCTTGGTTCATTCAGGTACCTGTAATAGCTCAAGCCCACTTCTAACAAATATTAACCGTTTTGGTCAATTATATATCACCGTCAGCCACACGGTTTTAAAATGTATTTACTAGGAAGAAGTTTTCACACTCTTATAAATAATGTTGTTCCTCTCTCCAACTGATATGTGATCTCATATCCACCACTTTTGAAGGCCAAGCGTTCTCACTAGCATATCTCCCGATGACTAGCTCTAATACAATTTGTAACAATCCAAGCCCACCGCTAAAAAATATTATCTACTTTGGCCCGTTATATATCGTCGTTACAGTCTCATAGTTTTAAAACGCATCTATTAGAGAGAAATTTCTACACTCTTATAAAAAATGTTTCGTTTCTCGGGTGTCACGTAAGTCTGTATTTTATTAAGAGAATAATAATTTTTTATTAAATTTTCGACTCTAATAAAAGCCATAATATTTACAACTTGTATTATGTAGGTCCACTTGGAAAACAAAGTTGCAGTCTATTTAAGATACCAAATATTATATTAGTTCTTATGCTATACAATTAGGTCATATTGAGATTAAAAAATACCAATTATTTTATTAATGCATAGAAAAATGATTTTAATCTCGATCGCTTCTATACCTCTCTTGTTTTTAATTAACCATGATTCTCGAGTGGAAATGAACCTTTTACATATCTTTAATGTAAGAGCCAAAATCTACCGCTAGTAGATATTGTCCATTTTGACCCGTTACGTATCGTTATATTGTCCATTTTGACCCGTTACGTATCGTTATCAGCCTCACGATTTTAAAACCCGTATGTTAGGGAGAACCCGTCTGTTAGGGAGAGCTTTCTACACCCTTATGTGAGATCTCACATTTAAGCTAACGGGTTATTGCACTTACGAAGTTCTAACTCTTTCAACCCTGTTAGACGAACACGACTCTCCACAATGGTATGATATTGTCCTCATACCAATGGAGTTAGTATTCCTCACTTATAAACCCATGATCATTCCCTAAATTAGCCGATGTGGGACTTTCATCATCCAACACCTCTCCTCGAACAAAGCACGCCTCCCCTTAATCGAGGCTCGACTCCTTTGGAGTCTTAGTCATTCATTTTTGACTGCCTTTGTACCTTCGAGGAGGCTTGACTCCTTTTGGAGTCCTTTGTTCGACATTTAAGGATTTGCCAATCTATTGGCACGGCAAAGTTTAGGGCATGGCTCTGATACCATGTTAGACGAACACGACTCTCCACAATGGTATGATATTGTCCACTTTGAGCATAAGCTCTCATGGCTTTGCTTTGGGCTTCCCCAAAAGGCCTCATACCAATGGAGTTAGTATTCCTCACTTATAAACCCATGATCATTCCCTAAATTAGCCGATGTGGGACTTTCATCATCCAACAAACCCCACTAAACTCGATTTTGTTGTTCAACTGCAACGATTATTTAAAAGAACTCGATCTATGAACAAAATTCCTTAATACCATCTATGTGGAGGGGTGGTAGCTGAACTGCTTTTTCAATCGATCTCCAGCCTCAATCTTTGTTATCGAGTTGTCACGGATTGGGTCGATAGAAGTACGTTCGATTGAGTCTATATCAACGCATACCCACAAATGAAAATTTGAACACAAATACATATAATCGAGGAAATCAACGATTTATAACCCTAAAACAAAGAAACCCACATAATGATTGATTACTCAAAATGTCAATATGGGAGTTGACAAGTGATGTAGACATGAAAGTTGGTGAGCGTACAATGGCAGATTGGTCCACTCTTAACTCACCAACTCCACCACAAAGCTTCCCTTTAGGGGGGTTCCGTCGTGGCCTTGTCTTTTAGGACATCATCGAACTAATGGCTCACCCGTCTATCAATCTATCTATCAATCGTTAAGGGTATGGGTACCACAAAGTTAAAAAGAGGCGTCGGGCTCCGACACTAACATATATATATCGGATCAGGTAAGATTTGAAGAGAGAGACAACACTACATTGAAACTTTGTGAACAACGTTGGCGTATGCTCGAGCATTGAGTCACATTTGAGAGAAGCATGATCGAAACATCTGTCATGCAGCCATAGGCAACACGCCTTGGACAAGCATGACCGTGACATACTGTATATGTTCTCCATTTTACCCCGCACATGACTCTCTCTCACTTCCACAACTTCATGCACTGCTTTACGATGACGTAGAAAATCATTATATATGGTAGATAACTCATTCTCTTAAACCGTATCAATTCTCCAATAGTGTACAAGCGAGAGTTCTACAAAATTTTACTTTAAATAACTCGTTCTTATAATTAAGATAGGTTATTTGTTGGTATATGTAATAACTATAAAAAAAAATTAAAACATCTCTCAATTATCATATCTTCGAGATCATCACTCTCGTTAAAATGTCTTTTTTACTCGGGCGTCACGACAGCTCTCAATTCATATAGCTTGTAAGGTGAAACGGATTCTAAATATAGGCTCGATCGCTTTATACTCGGTATGTTTTTCGTCTAAAAAATGATTCTATTAGATTAAAAAAAATACATTAAATAATTCCAAAATCATAGATAAAAGAGTTATTTCTTCTTACCCACTTCGAAGTTAGGTGAAAATTAATCATTAAAAGACAAGATTAGTTAAGCAAAAATAATAATTATTATTATAATTGAACTTGAAATTAGGGAGTTTTGATGGTTGAAATGGGCAAGAGACAAGCTGCTAAATAAGGGCAGCAGCCAAAGGAACCATTAGACGACCATTGGATGAGACAAGACAAAAGAAACCCCACTTGCTTCTTTTATCTTTGTCCCTTGTTTGGTTTTTTTATTCTTAAAAGAAATACAAAACCCCACTTGGTCGTGTTTTTGGTCAAACTTGTTTTTCTTAAACAAGGGGTGCAACCGTTTAACTTTACCGCTAGTAGATGTTGTTTGTTTCAGCTTGTCATGTATCACTGTTAGCCTATTGATTTTAAAATGTGTCTACTAGAGAGAGATTTCCACATTCTTAGAAGTAATGCTTCGTTTCCCTCTCTAAACGATGTGAGATCTTACAATCCATTCCCTTTGGAAACTAACGTCCTCGCTTGTATACTACTCAGTGTCTGACTCTATACCATTTGTAACAGTCCAAGCCTACCGTTAGTAGATATTGTCCATTTCAGCCCGTTACGTATCGTCGTCAACATCACAATTTTAAAACTCGTGCGTCTGTTAGGGAGAGGTTTCCACACCCTTATGAGAAATGTTTTGTTCCCTTCTCCAAACGATGTGTGATCTCATAATCCATCCTCTTTGGGAACTAATGTCCTCGCTAGCATACCGCCCAATGTTTGACTCTATACCATTTATAACAGTCCAAGCCCACTGCTTGCAGATATTGTCTGTTTTAGTCAGCTTCACGATCTTAAAATGCGTCTACTAAGGAGAGATTTCTACACTCTTATAAAAAATGATTCGTTCTCCTCTCTAACCGATGTGGGATCTCACAATCCACCCTTCTTGGGGGGCCAACGTTCTCGCTGACACACTACCCGGTGTCTAGCTTTGATACCATTTATAACAGCCTAAGCCCACCACAAACAAATATTATCCGCATTGGCCCGTTACGTATCGCCTTCAACCTCACAGTTTTAAAATACGTCTATTAGGAGAGGTATCCACACACCCTTATAAAGAATGTTTCGCTCCTATTAGTATAGTATGCTTCGCTATCCACAAACAAATTGTATGAAAAATATTTTTTTAAAAAATAACGTGAGTAGAGAAAAAAATTCATTACGTTAATAATTAATGTAGAAGAAACCCCTCAATTATTGACTACTATACTAATAGCAAAAATATATATTTTTTTTTTTTAAAAAAAAAGGAGATATAACAAGCCTACTAGTTGGAAATGTCCACGAGTAGATATACTTTTATTTATGGGCGAAGCAAGGTGGGAATTGGGTTCGGGTCAGGGTCGGAAAATGTCTCATCTCTAGTTATCTTTGGTCATCTCTGGTCCTGTTTAGCTAACCGAGAGAAATCTCTCCATACTTCCTCCCCAATTCCCATTTAAACTGGAATGATTCGTAGAAGATCCCGATCTCACGGGTTAAATGAACACTCTGACCGAAATTTTCACAACTTTTTTTTCCATTGACTTAAAATTAAACCCTAATTTGAGATTTAGTTTGAAACATGATCGCGTGTGTTCCACGAGCAAGAACTGAGAGTGGTTTTATTTTAAATAGAAATTTGGACCAATTAATTTTTTTTTTTCATATAAATATTCATAAGACTTTTGGCAGTGAGAGAAATTATCTTATTTTCTGTGGGTTTCTTAAAAAATACAATTTTTTTGATGTTTTGATGGCTGAATTGGACTTAGGAAGTCGATATTTCTCCGCCGCCGACCACGACGACGACGACGATCCCCACCAATCCCACGGCGGCTCTGACGATGTCCTTGGCCGCCGCTCTCGTGGCCGGCCACCAGGTTCAAAAAACAAGCCGAAGCCGCCGGTTATCATAACCCGCGAGAGCGCCAACACGCTGCGTGTCCACATCTTAGAGGTCAGCAGCGGGTGTGACATATTTGATTGCGTCGCCGCCTACGCGCGTCGGCGACAGCGTGGGATCTGTATTTTGAGCGGTAGTGGCAACGTCAGTAACGTCGGAATCCGCCAACCAGCAGCGGCCGGAGCCGTACTGACTCTTCATGGGAGATTCGAGATTTTGTCGCTATCTGGATCGTTTCTTCCGCCGCCTGCTCCGGCTAACGCCACTAGTTTGACTATATTTTTGGCCGGAGGGCAGGGACAGGTGGTCGGCGGGACGGTGGCTGGAGAATTAACAGCGGCAGGACCAGTGATTTTGATTGCAGCTTCGTTTAGTAATGTGGCGTATGAGAGATTACCACTGGATGAGGAAGATCAGCAGCAGCAAGTCCCCGTCGCAGGCAGCGGAGTTGGCGGCGGCGACGGCGGCAGCGACAACCCATTTCAAGACCCATCAAATTCAGGAGTTCCATTTTTGAATTATCCACTTCATATGCAAAATATTCAGCTTCCACCTTTCTGACAAATTTGAGTGTTTGAAACAACAAATCAAGAACAACCCATCTCAAAAAAAAAAAAAAAAAAATACGGCGATTGGGTTGACTAACTGGTGTCAAAGCTCAACCATTGAATCTTCTCTTTCTCTCTCTAGGATCTTTAAATTCAGTGTTCTTCTTCTTCTCAATGTAATTTATTGAAGAAATTATCTCATGGGTGTTTGTAAAAGAAGGTAGAAACAATTTCGTATTCGTACGGGTTTTTCTCGGTAAGTTTCGATTGAGTTAATGTTTTTTTTTTAAAGAACATCTAAGGTGGCATTAGGAGTCGTCTAATTGCTCAATCTCAAATTGTTCTGCCTTTAAGTGATGGGCAACTTGTACTAGTCTTGCAACAGTACTAACACAGGAGGATTGATCCTTCACTTGCTCATCGTCGAGTATTTACTCCTTTATGAAATTGAAACGGAGATTCCAGGATTTTTGTAGATTCAAGCGGGTAATCCTTATTTGTGGTTTAGAATTTGAGTGAAAGATTGACCCGTGGTTTATGAACTCCTAGGTTACATGGTCTGGTTTTGAATTAGCACGGCCTATTGTAAGTTAGTGTATGACATTTTTCAATTTTAATATTTACTCTGTTTTATTTAATATTTCGTTAGATTGGTTTAAATACTTTTGAAACAGGTAAGTCCATGACAATGTTTTATAATAATATTTTAAATGTTTATTTTCTCGTTAAATGTATTTTCATAATATATGATCCAAACCATATGAGTTGGTTGGTTTGATGTTCTAAAAGGTTAGGTTAAGATATAAAGTGGGCATTTCTTTATTTAATTTTTTAATATTAGGGCTAAATCTTTTGGATAAGGGTTGTGTTTTGTTTTATATTTCCAAAAAATAAGATTGTTTATGAACAATTTGTTTGTTTAATAATCTATGTTTTTTAAAAATATTCTTAAAAGCTAAAAGGATATGTTTGAGAGTAGTTGTACAAAAAAAAGCTATTTATTTGAGAATAAAATAATTTTTATTAATATATATGAAATAATTTGTGTTATTTATAAGATGGTCAATAACCCATATTTAGGGTTGAAATTACCTTTTAACCAGTTTTTTCTAAAAAAAAAATCATTTTGGGAATTTTAGAAACAATAAAATAGATAATATTTTCCTTATAAAAAAAATAGTATTCATAAACTTTTTTTTTTTAAAAATAACGGTAACAACTAAAGTCTTCTGCTAATAAATATTATTTCTTTTAGATTCTTCCTTTCAAGCTTCCCCGATATTCTTAAAAAGGAATGTTGGGATTTCACAAGAATAATGGTGTTTCGTTCTCTTCAACAGGATCTCACAAGAATAATAGTACAATGTATTGTTCCATGCTTAACTAGAGACTAAAGACTAAATCGTTATCGATTACAAGTGATCGCATTCCAGATTATTCACATTGGAAATATAATATCACAAAGTTCATGAATTCACAATGCTGGAAAACAAATGCTTTTAGTAGAAAAAGATGATCGAACCTCGAATGTTTTAATATCTTTAACTATGGAGATATATTCAAATTGAGTCCATACCAGTAGAAATGATATGGTATAATATAGTCACTATCTTGTTTACGTTTGACATATAATGTTGCGTCTGTGTTCGGAATACGATTATGAATCCATCTACTGAAATTGTTATGGTAACGAGTTCAAATACAGTTTTTACAAGTATAATAGGGTCAGTACCAAATAATGATGATGATGACACAACACATTATATCTAATGGATGACCATAGTCAGATGAAGTTGTGGCCTCAAGAGCTACCTGCATTGTTCATATCCCATGTCAAACTCAATACTTTATTTAACTTCTAAAACAAATCTATGTTTCAAGGCAGAAAGCTTTGATATATAGCTAACATTTCACTGATATTCTAAGCACGGATCAAGTCACGTTCAAAAGGTCAGAGGTTTAAATACTAATGGATCAAGTCACGTTCAAAAGATCAGAGGTTTGAATACTCGTCTATTTCCCATTTGCTAGCATAGTGTTCCAAAAAAAAAAAAAAAAAAAAAAAAACCCTGAAATTTGGCCTAAGATGAATGGAGGAAAAGAGGAGGCATCACTCATTTTCTCTTCCTGAAAATGATCTTCAGAATAAGAACCAGTTCTCGTCCAATTACTAGGATCAGTTTGGATCCACACGATCTTGGTAGCCAAGTACTATAATAAGTCGTACCTATCTTAATATGAACTTAATTGAATATCATATAGTTCCATGAATCCTCAGATCGACTCAACTTTGTGGCTTTTCCAGGAAAGAATGATAAAAAAAAAAGCCCGACAATGCATCTTCGGATCCAATTCATGATTAGATCGACTTTTAACCATGAGAAAAAGGGAGTTGAAGATTTACCCTCTACATTAAATGTCGTAATGACATCCCAATGGGGTATGATTTACCATAATCTTCAGAAGAAGTTCTACATCCATGGAGAAATGTTAAAGTAGACACTTAGAACTGACTAGAAATAAAGCCAACCAGCAGCTAAAAGAAGATGAATAGTGAATCTACTCTAGAAAAGTTATGATACGGTTTCAACAATGCATGTTAGGGACAGAATACAGAACTAACCTCTATACATCGGGATGCAAAACACTAACCCACTTCAACAACACCCAATGCACTAAACTGTTAAGTTGGGTATGCAGCTTCATTATTGATTTCGACTACCCCACAATTGATACATCTGCATATTATGAATTGGTTGGTTGGCATTGGTGTAGATTCCAGGCGCCCGGCTTAAAGGGCTACCATCATTATCGTCTGATGAATTATTTGATGCACCTTCAGAGGGGCAGCCTGTTGCCGCCGCAGGTGCACTGAAGTTTAACATATTGGGTGATGTAGAAGATGGCCCAGGTTTCTGTGTACTTGAGTCCAGCTTTTTCCCATCCACAAGAAAGCTACCCACTATAACCTGATTTTGCAACAAGACATGGTTTAAGGCACAAAAACCAACTTATTACATTAGCAGATAAGTTATGCAACCAAGGAAAGAACATTCAATCCATCGATAAAAGAAAAGATGAACACTACATCAAGCTAGCCCACATAACTTTTATGCAGACAGTAGGCCAAGGCTAGTACCTGAACTGTAGATGCTGCTGTTAACATGTCGGTAATTCCACCAAGGACTTGTCCATCCGCACTTGCTAGAGACACGCTTAAGCGACCAGTTCGATTTCGATTGCCATTACTGTCAGAAATCAAGAAGTTTCCTGATAGAGAGATGATTTCATATCGGCCCTGCATTAGATTAAAAAGCAATAGAACTGGTGACACTTTGTGTTCAAAGGAAATAATACAGCCAGAAAAGGTTTTTTCTTTTCCATTATTTTTCAGGATTAATGAATCAAGAGTGAAGACCACCAATAGAAATATTTTTATACTTGGGGTAAACTACAGCTAGAATGGATTCTTTTCACCCATTTTTCCAGGAATAAAGAGGCCTTTTTTAAGGTTTTTGGTGATGCACAACAAATGTAGATTATCAGGCATCTTTGACCAAAACAAATGCTTATGTTCATTAAAAAAAATGAACTGCAGGGATAAATAGTTGGGTTGTTCATCCCTAGGCATATCAATCACTTGGAACATTCCTCAAGTTTTCCTCTTTAAATAATAACCGAGCACTAGTTGTACATTGCATTCTCTGCTGCTGCTAATGGAATATGAACTTAATTTCAGAGAGATACGCAAGCATCATTTTTTTTAAGTCAAGGAGAATGGTAAAACAGAGCAGTAATCATAATTCCTCGAATTCTCCAACCATAACTTCCTTCATCGAACTCAAGTTCATTCAGGGGATGGAATCAGCCCAAGGGTAACCAAGAGCATCTCTGCGGTTAAATGGTTGCATTACCAATTTTCTGCAATCACTCCGACATGTAATAGTCAGGTATATTATCTATTAAATCTGATTATTTGGATGAATCCAATGGTGACAATTTTCTGGGAGATTTGAAAGGGATGAAGATTTTCTTATAATCAAAAGAACACTAAAATTGGTTTTTATAAACAAAACAAAAATGTTGTAACCACTCTTCGGAAAATGTCAAAATGGAGTTGGAGTAATATTTATTGTTGTAATTTTTTTAATTAAGAAAGCATTTTTGTAACGCCCAGTTCTGTTTCTGTCTAAAGATTTGATAGATAAAAGAAATAAATCTCCAAAGAAGAAACTTGAATGACCGAGAAATTGCAGACTGGACCTCATGGATTTCATTACTGACCCTTGCCTTAACTTGCATCAAGATAAATAGTGGATTTCAAATATATTGCCAGATAACTTCAAGTCCTTCACTTTTGCAAGTGGATCTCGAATGATCCTTATCCTAATAAGTCAAGATGTTCGTCTAGAAGCTTTTCATTGTAGAAGATAGTATTCTCCGTCCATGGAAGAATATATGGTGGCTTTATCACGGTACGAGTTACCTACTCTTTGGGCTTTTCTTTTTTCTTTTCCCTGGATAAGAAACACACTAATTTCATTCCAAAAGATCAAAGAAGATAAAGCAAAGGCAAGGAGACGAGATATCTCCTTTCAATGATTTAACAATGAGGTGCTAAAATGGTCCCGAATCCAGATTAATCATTGAAGTCGACTATGAAAATATCAGGACTTGGACCGAAGTGATCTAAACTTTTCCATAATTTCCTCAGCCCTTGTTGAGGCAGACTTTCTCCTCCCCCTTTTGGATGTATAAATTAAAAGATAATCTAATAGCTAGAAAAAGAAGTATATGATTAGTCAGGCTGCAGATTCTAGATGGGCAAATCTTGGAAATTCTGTTCTCTTCTCTTGCATCTTCATTTTCTCACCAAGAGCAATCCGTCTCCCAATAAAAGTACTGTGTCAGTTAGGTATTAAAATCCTTAGAAGATAGAAGTCTTTGCTCAGTCTTTGTATGACGGTAAACTTAATACCTCAGGCTGAAAATAAAGGAAGCTTGATTTTTTATGCCGCTTAGCAAATACAGATTGGCCTCTACCTTTAATCTCTCCCAGTGTGCTCCTGAAACCGGATTCTTACTGCAACAACCTTTTGCTTATACCATTAGGCACAAGGTTAAAATCCTCAATAATCAATGCTACCTTTTCCTTCTAAGTACAACAGACTTAAAAACAGAGGAAATTACCATAGCCTACATGTAGCTAAAGCCTGAACTGCTAGTCAGGAGTCACCAACACCGTGCATTCACTATATACTAGAACAAGCTGCGTCAAGGTTGGCACTGATGAATTAAAGTATCATTGATCCATTCGTTACTTGAAAAGAATTAACTCATTCAAAAATTCAGGATGAGAACTGATAGAAGGAATACACCTCCTCTATAAAGTTCAATGGAAATAGCAATGTTTGTAAATGGTCAGAGATTTACTTTTTATCACCACAGTGCAGTGTAATGGGTGACCAATTAAATTGAAAAGTAAAAGCAAACATGAAGGCATAGAAAAAAACAAGCTTTTAAAAAAAGTCCTCAACTATCTGAAGGAAAAAGATGGTAAAATGAAAAGGTTAAAAGAGGTAAGAGTACATATAGGCATGTAGGGTAGCTAGCCTGAGTGATATTACCATCTACAGGCGTTTCATGTAAGTGAGTCACGCTTCATAGAAAAACCAAAATCAAGAGTAGAGGGGTGTTCAGCATCAATAAACAAGAATATGATATGTGCGTTCATAGGCTTATGCAAAACTCACGCATGGATCTTTCTACATTTTGGAAGTTGATGTGTCAGCATGTACTAACATCAATGTTAAGTCTGACGTAATTTGATGGCTACAATTGTCCAAAAGTCATTGGAGGAAAATTAAAAACTTGCCTCATATGTCACACTGCCAGCGGCCATTGTGGGTTGATGAAGGGTAACATTGCAGACAGCACCATGGGCAGAGAGAACACAAACAGTCCGAGGCCCCAGCTGTGAAAATGCCACAACTTTCGAAGCAATGTCCTGCAAATCAATGAAAAGCCATCTTAAAGTACATTCCGTAGACAAAATGTCTTATTTGAACAAGTATCAACTAACCTTCAAATTAATGCATCCATAATCATGAAGGAGAAGAAGTAAACTAAGAAAACGCATTCAATGAAGCAAAAGTCTGTACCATGAAAAACTACTCTAAAATCATATAATTTTGTTCATCAAAAGAAAGGTCAAGAGCAAAAAATGTTAAAAAGATGATTATAATAAATGTTTTCAATCACTGAATTCAAAAACCAACTCAATATAAGACTTCAATGACCATGCTATATTTATTGATGATCCTATCAGTCTCAGAAGCAAAACACCATGTTATTCCAATGAACTGGTGACTATTTGATGGTATTATAGAGTTCTTTTAAGAGGAAACCTTTAAATTCATTCCTACAAGAAAAAGATGAGGGGAATAAGACATCAGCCAAGATCTCCAATTTTTACATCAGAAACAACATCAAGGTGCACACAAGCGAGCCTGACACAAATAGATATACAGAAAAAAGAATAAAAATAAATAAACACATTTTACAAGATGGATCTTCATGCACAACAAGTTTCATATATAAAATCATAAAAATTATAAAGCTGCACAACAAAAACAGGATTCAAGGACTTGCAGAAGTACACCAGAAGGAACTCAAAATTTTAATTTCTAGTCAGATATCCTTCCATTTTTCACTGCTATCTTGAAATGTCCAACGAAACCTCCTAAAGAAGAGTCTTTTTTCTTTTATCTTTTTGCCCAAAAAAAAGGTTTAATCACATAGAAACACAATGTTTTAGTTTTCTGTTTCAAAGGGATACCATAAAATATTTTGAAGGATAATACCAGGGGAGAGTTTGCAACCAAATCAAACTAAAAAGAAATATGAATCTTTTACCTACATTTTGACTTTTTCTTCCATAAAAAATTTAAAACAAAAACAAAAACCAAATGGTTAGCATTCTCAAATGCATCCTACCACAAAAACAAACCAATTAGGGACAACACAAGCGAAAGATTACTTCAGAGTTTTATCCATAGTGATTAACCCATGAAGAGCCAAAGATCATATGAAGACTTCCTCTTTCTTGTGGTATTTTGGTTGCCAAATATCATAGTTGATATATGATGGAGGAATGGGATCTCTATCGGTAAACGTTAAAAAAAACAATTCGGGGGGTGAAAAACCAGATTTAGCCAAAGACCAAGAAATAGAACTCAAATCAGACTGAACTATACAGCTCCTCAAAATATCCTTCAAAGAAGTCATCCTTCTACTTCCAGACTAGTTACAATTCTCCTCCAACTAATAGACCAGTCTCCCCCCTCGCACCACACAATTCTACACTTCTAGTTCTACAATGTTGAAAAACCTTGTAAACACCACTTTAAGAGGCTGTTGAGTTTTGAAGTCTTCCCAAAAGCAGCTTCTATATCACTCGAGCCAAATTTCAATTGAGACAGACCTCCCATCAACATTTAAAAGTTGGAATCAAAGCTCCAGTCTCTCAATATCAAGGCTTAGGAAACTGTTTGAACCTTCGACAATCAAATATTAACATTATAGCTTTAAAATGACAAGAAATTACAATATTGAACTTTACAAATCCTGGATCCAATTCAATACAGAACCAAAGGGCGAACATGAACTATGCTTTTAAATGAGTGGTAAAAAAAAAAAACTGTTTCCACCTTATCTTCCATTCATTCCATTGGGATTCCTTCACAAGAAAAACTACTGTTAATGTAGGAAAAGCTATATCCAGATAGGAATTTGATGTCCCGAATTCAGAAGTGAGAACAATTGGTTTTCATTTCTGTTTTCTGAATCAAGTCTGTTAGCACAAAGCTATTTATATAGTTCCATATGATCACAGAAGAAGGTGAAATACTTAAGATTCTTAACTTCGATTCAGCTAAAACCCAATTTTGCTCAACTATGCAAGTATGGGCAGTTGCAGAAACCACAGAACAGTTCGCTATTTATTTGGATCAATTAGCACTGAAACTTGCTAGCACAATTTTTTATTATTATTATTTTTTTTTAATTTTTGGATGGAGAAGACATTCAAATGTTAGATGGCTTTCATATAACTCTCCACTCATACATAAAATAATATATCAACTGGTCAACTAGAATGGGTCTCCAGTTTAGATTTTTTTATAAGAACCAAGAAACATCCACAGAAAATATGTAAAATACAAAAGGAAAACCCAAAAAAAAGTTTAAAGAACTTGCAACATATTTTAATGCGCAATTTCAAGCATGAGAACCCTGAAAAAAATTTCTGATCAGACCCGCATATTCCCCCATTTTATCTTACCTTACATCAAAACATAAAATTGAAGCATTCTTAGGCCTCACAATCCGGGAAGCTTTGAACTCTTGAATGTAAGAGAAAATATAAACCAGCAGAAAATTCAAGAAACCTGTCTCATGCCATTGTCAAGTTATCCACAAAAATAAAGACACACGGGGAGAGAAAACCAAGGAAATTCCCTCATCTGTTTTTCCACAAAACAGGTGCATAACTCTGTGCGTTATGATGCATCTTTTTCTTCATTATATTTCCTACAGCCCCAAGGAACATCCAAGAACAGAATATATGTACACTTCCACACATTAACACATCCACATTCCTAGGGAAAGAGTTATGGTGCAGCAGCTAACAATAGAACTACCATGACTTTGTAGAATCTTAATTTCTAACCATGATTTTGTCAACAATAGAATTAACATTCCATTTAATGAACTGATATTATTTTCCCAAAGGAAGCCCAAGAAACCGACTTAGGAAATAACTAGAATTGAATGTCACTGAATAGAGAATAAAAATTAAAAAGAAAGAAGAATAGCATCAAATTAAATTCAACGGTAATAAAATATATACAAAAGGAAAACAAGTTGCTTTACCTCACCGGGTTTCACCAGAATGACGTGAGGGGTAAAGCCAACACCGCCAGTTCCTGTGCACCGCAACCAAACAATTGTTGGATGATGAAAGTCCCACATCGGTTAATTTAGGGAATGATCATGGGTTTATAATGTAAGAATACACTCTCCATTGGTATGAGGCCTTTTGGGAAGCCCAAAGCAAAGCCATGAGAGCTTATGCTCAAAGTGGACAATATCATACCATTGTGGAGAGTCGTGTTCGTCTAACAACAATCACTAAAGCTATACAAAAACAGACAAGAAGTAGGAAAGGCATAAAGAAGACTACCCAAAGCATCCATCTGCTTCTTCCCAGTACCCGGCGGCCGTCCCCTGTTCTTCTTCGGGCGAGGATCCGCCGAGTGCATGCCGGCAGAATCACCGGGAGCGGCGGAAGAAGTGACGGGGGTTGGCGATAAACCCAAAGCGATGTTGCCATCAGGCGAATACTTCCTCGGGCGGCCTCTCTTCTTCTTCCCGGAATCAATGTTGAAGCCACCACCACGCAATTCGGAATGCGATCCGTCATAAGAACCGGCATTAGGTGAGTCCGAAGGCTTAGAAGCAGAACCCATCATGGAGTTGAAGGGAAATCGCGATGCGGATGACATCATCTGAGCAGCGGTGGAATTGGGGTTGATCAATGGGGAAGCATTGTTGTTGTTGTTGGGAAAATTGGTGGAATAGGAAGCATTTCCCATCATTCTATTGGGTGGAGTAGATTGTGGCTGAGGTTGATGAACAGAAGGCATCGACCTCTCCCGTGAATCCATGGCGCAAGATCAGAAAAGGGAGAATGTGAGAGAGAAACGTAGAAACGAGAAAAGATGATCCTTTCTTCTTCTCCTTCCTCTTCTTCTTCTTCGTATTTCGTTTCGATTTCTTCGCAAGAAACAAGAAAATGGAAATGGTTGGTTTCAGTGATTCGCGTTGCTAATTCGCGTAATTGCTTTGTTCGATCAGTGATGATGAGTTGTGAGTGACGAGTGAACAGACGCGAGAATGGAAGAGAGAGAACAGAACCGCGAAATGGGTTTTGATTTTTAGGGTTTTAGTTTTTTTTTTTTTTTTTTTTTTTTCCTTTTTCTGTTTTTGTAGTTCACCTAAATTCTGCTTTATAAAGGTTTAAATTTATTTTTTCTACTTTTTTTTTTTGGTAGATGTATATTTTTTTAAAATAAAACCATTTTTAACCTTTTTTTTTCATTATTTAAACCATTTTAATTTAGTATTTTATATATATATATATATATATATATATATATATTCGATATACCATTTTTCGGTTAATGAATGTTAAAACTAATTGATATAAGTTTAATGTCGATATTTAGGTGGCTAACACGAAGATAATTCAACTAGTCAAAATATATATATATATATATTTAATAGAATTTTTGTGTTTAAATTTAATTTTTAAGTTTTGAAATATTAGATTTTTATTTTTTAGTTTTGAATTTAATATTTTTAGTCTCTAAATTTTATGGTTCAAGCTTTCCCCAGCCCCTTCTCATCAATGGACTCCTGACGTATACGAAGGAGTGCGGTTCGTTCGATAAATTCCTACCTCTCTATCGATCTCTGAGATGTTTGGATTTTTCAAAACTTCATGGACATGCAGAAGAGAAATAATATCCCCACTCGGACCCAGACATAACTTTTACTTGTTCAAATAACAATTAAGGTGAAGCAGGGTCAGGAACAACGAATCTCTTTATGATAAACAGATTCATTTTGCAAGTTCGTTATTACGGGTAGTTCCTACAAAGAATCGGACTAATGACATATACAATACTTGAATTCTCGATGTAAAATTTTTATCACTAAATTATGACATTAATTAATTTTAATAGTGACCTTTAATTAATTTACTTATAATTTATTTAAATTAATTAATAGAAATTAACATAAATGATAAAAATGTGACGTTAATGAAAATTTGGAAGTAAATGTTTAAAATCGTTAAAAATAGAGACCTAACCGAAAATTAAATTCAAAACTCGAACAGTAAAATTGTAATATTTTAAAATTTAAAGACGAAATAAAAATTAAATTCAAAATTAAGGAGTATAAGTATAAGATTTAGAAAGTATACTCGAAACTAGATTAAAAAGACATTAACTTTAATTTTTAAATGTTTCGCCCATATTTCCTTGTATATTTAAACATCTTCGTGTAACAATCACGCTAGCTGATACTGTACTCTTTGGGCTTTCTCTCAAGGTTTTAAAACATATCTTTGTTACAAATTGTATTAGAGTCAGACATGGGGCAGTGTGCCAGTAAGGATTATAGATTCCAAGAGGGGTGGATTGTGATATCTCACGAGGGGGAAACCTCTCCCTAGACGACGCGTTTTAAAACCGTGAGGCTTAAGGACGTTACATAACATAGTCAAAGTGGACAATATTTGCTACGGTGGGTTTAGATTGTTACACTCTCTTCTCACGTGGGTTCACTCGTCACTCACAACTTTAAAATGATCATGAATCACAATAAATAAAAAGCATGAAGTCATGCAAAGAGTTACATACTTCATAGTAAAGGAAATAACTCATTCATATCATATAAATCGTGCTCGGGCATGTTAATCTAGTAGGTTCTAACGTGCATACTTAAGGATGGCAAAGTTGCAGTGAGGACAAAACCGAACCCAAATTGGAAAAAAATTACCTAAGGTTGTCGATCCTTAACTGAAGTAGAAGAACCACGGTCGAGGAAACAAACATGTGGCGAGTGTAAATCGAACAAACGTGTAGACACACTGAGAAGGTAGATCAGTTAGATGTGTCAAACGATTCAATTGTGTGAACGGGGAGCCCAACACTAAGCTAGAAGAATGCTCTAGAGAAGGTTTTTTTGAATTTTCTCCTAAGAAATGTCGTTAATATCGAACATCTTTTTTTAAGTCCGTTATAATTATGAAAGAATGGTAAGTATTGATGTCCAAGATTTGATTTGGATTCATAATTTATAGACATTATTGAAACAAACCCTAACCCTAAATCAATACATGTGCCCACAAATTAGCATTGATTAATTACGATTGACATAAACACGCCCTTAAATCGAGTGAAAAGAACATGAAGAAATATTGTTTTCTTCATCAAAACAAATGCAGTATACAGCGCTGAGAATGGCGAATTAAATTCATACATTTCTCGGTCTCTGCCTCCATACTCATGCGTTGGATTCAAATCGGCTGGAGGACGAGAAGAATCAAAGGCTGAGCTGAAAAGGTAATCCAATTCTCTTCTTATGTTGCCTGATATTTATCTTTTGATCCGTTTTTCTGGGCCTAATTGCTGTTTGTTTGTTTGTTTATCAGATTGGATAACCTGCAGAAGCCAACGTTCTGCTTGCATCTTTTTGATTTATATTTCAAGCTCCATTTCTGGTGTTGATGAAATTTGGTTCTGGTGAGATTTCCCTCTTTCGACTGTGATTTGATTGATCCTTCCTAATCACATTTGATTTGCTTTAACTGGTTTTCTGATATCTGTAATTTGAATGATTCAAATGATAAAACCATTCAAATTAAACGTATATAGAATGTGTAAAACAGGGAATTTTGTTGGCTGATTTAGTATCTTCTCTGTTCTTGCTTGTCTGTTGCGTTGATTGAGATTCTGTACCAATGTCTTTTTTCATAATTCCATGGCCCAGTATGAACCAACGGTTATCTCATTTTCGTTTGCAAGTTACTAGTTATAAATGTAATTATAAAACCAAGTTCCTTGATCTTTTTTCGCCCCCAAATGTCTCTGTGACTCAGTAAGCAGACAAAGCTTCAAAGGCAACATTTTTTGGTTGTCCTGTTTTAAAGGAATAGCAGTTAATAAAGCTAACTTATTTCCGAGAACATAATTGTGTGGTTCTTTACAAAACAGTGCTTCCTGTATCATATTAGTTATCACGATCTCCACAATGGTATGATATTGTTCATTTTGAGCGTATGCTCTCATGGCTTTGTTTTATGTTTCCCGAAAAGGCCTTATACTAATGGAGATGTATTCCATACTTGTAAACTCTGATCATCTCCTTAATTAGTCAATGTGAGACTCTCTCTCAACAATCCTCCCGTCGAGCAAAGTACACCATAGAGTCTCCTCTGAGACTTATGGAGCTCTCGAATAGCCTCCTCTTAATTGAGGCTCGACTCCTTTGGAGCCCTCGAACAAAGTATACTCTTTATTCAACACTTTAGTCACTTTTGATTACACTTGAGACTCACAACTTCTTTGTTCGACACTTGAGAATTCTATTGACATGGCTAAGTTAAGGGCATGACTCTGATACCATGTTAGGAACCACAACCCTCCACAATGGTATGTTATTGTCCACTTTTAGCGTAAGCTATCACGGCTTTGTTTTTTGTTTCTCCAAAATGCCTCGTACCAATGGAGATGTATTTCTTACTTATAAACCCTTGATCATCCTCTTAATTACAATGTGGGACTCTCTCCCACAAATCGTCAAACATATCATTCCTATTGTTCTGTTCTAAAGGTTCCTATTGCTCCTTTTCCTATATCATTCCTTCCAATAGCAATCCTTCTTGGATGACTTGCTAAGTAAGGTTACTTCTGTTGTGTAATGGACTAATCTCTTTGTTTTTGGAAATTGATAGAATAATGATCAAGGATATGCATTAACTTTCTAGGATTATACTTTTTCTTTCTTTTCCTTCTTACCATATGTTGCTGCATTGTTCTTGTACTTGCTACTCTGTCTTGTTTACACTTTTATCTACAAATATAGAACACACGGACATTTTCTCAACGATTGTTCATAAACTTACATCTGTAATTGAAGAAACTTTCTACACTTCTAGTCAATATCCATATCGATTTATATTCTGTTGAAAATTTTCCTGGAATCCTTGATAAATTGAATTACCTCGAGACCGTAGAAGAAGTAGCCGGCATAATTTGCAACAGATAGCGTTTTCTAAAGCATATTCTGGTCTATACTAACCTTAAACACTTTTCTTTGGTCTTGCTCCAACACCACTGCTTCATATTGACCTGTAGTTGGTGCCATTTTAAGATCTCTTTCAGTTGATATGATAAACACCTTTTGGAGATTCATCTGGTTTCACTTCATCTTTGGATTAACTTTTTTCTTACTTGTGGATGATCCATGCACTTGAAGATCGACTTAAAAGAAGATTCATCATAAATTCAAGCTTCAAAATGAAATTTCATCTTAATGATCCACTGTACTACTGTACTGACAAGCTGTATGAACACTGCTTGTATTAGACTAGTAGTGATCTTAATTTACCAGCCAAGATGTTGAGTGTTGACCAAATTGGGCATCTACAGCCTGTAGGAATATGTTCAGTCAGTTTGCTTTATAGATGCCCAAAGAATGTGTTCTAGTTGACCAATACTCGGAACTTTCTGTCACTCAGGTTTGTTTTTTTGTTCTTTCATCTTTTTGGCACGACATTCGGGATATTGATCTACCCTATGGTTTAGAAGAATTAATGTGATTACAGTCGCGAGTATTATAAATGAAAACCAACCAACAGGGAGTGAAAAACTTCAAACGGGCACATAACACACGTTTGAGGTAGGTAGTCTGTCTTTGTTGTATTTGGGTCCGGTTGCTGTGTGATTTAAGCTTGTATTGGTGAAAGGTTGCCATGTGGGTCCATCTGTTGATGAATTATCTTTTTCTCCTATTGCTCATTTCTTTGGACCTCCCACATACCTCACGTTTCAGATTCTCCTATTCGGAAGACTTAAAAGACTCGTTCTTCTTCAAGCATACCGGTGTATTATATACTTTTGTTTTCCCAAAAGTTCACATTTCTTACATTGAATCTGAAGATGGGAGGCGTGGCCAAGGACCTCACTGCCGGGACGGTTGGAGGGGCATCACAATTGATATGTGGACACCCATTTGATACCATAAAGGTCAAGTTACAAAGCCAGCCCGTTCCACTTCCTGGCCAGTCTCCCAAGTTCTCCGGCGCCATCGATGCTGTCAAGCAAACTATAGCAGCTGAAGGCGCTGGCGGGTTGTACAAGGGTATGGGTGCTCCTCTCGCAACTGTGGCAGCGTTCAATGCCGTCCTCTTTTCAGTAAGAGGGCAAATGGAAGCGCTGGTAAGGTCTCAACCCGGTGTACCCTTATCTGTCAATCAGCAGGTGGTTTGTGGAGCTGGGGCTGGAGTTGCTGTATCGTTTCTCGCTTGCCCCACCGAATTAATCAAGTGCAGGTTCATTTTTTCGATCTTATTCCAATCGTCTTACCACCCCATCTTCCATATCCTTGAGGATTCACAAAGATAATCAGATAGTACTGATGCCAAAACATTGATTCTAAATACTATATGTATAGTTTTGTTATTTGTTGGAGGAATTGACTGTAACCATCAATTTTCAGATTGCAAGCCCAAAGTGCATTGGCACAATCCAGTTCAGCTGGCCTAACAGTGAAGTACGGAGGGCCAATGGATGTCGCTCGCCATGTCCTCAAGTCAGAAGGCGGTGTAAAGGGTCTCTTCAAGGGACTGGTTCCTACTCTAGCCCGTGAAGTACCCGGAAATGCAGCCATGTTTGGTACGTATGAGTTGCTGAAGCAATGCTTTGCAGGTGGTCCGGACACTTCAAACCTCGGAAGAGGCTCACTGATTGTGGCTGGAGGATTGGCTGGAGCTTCATTCTGGCTCTCCGTCTACCCAACCGACGTCGTCAAGAGTGTAATTCAAGTCGATGATTACAAAAACCCGAAGTACTCGGGGTCGCTCAATGCATTTAGAAAGCTCTTAGCCTCGGAAGGAGTTAAAGGGCTATACAAAGGTTTTGGTCCTGCCATGGCCAGGAGTGTTCCTGCAAATGCAGCTTGTTTCCTGGCTTATGAGGTAACCAGATCAAGCTTGGGATGATTAAGCATCCTTCTTGAGTTATATCTTTTCATTTAAACTCATAGAAGCTATGTCTTAGGTTAGAGGCACCAATAAGACAGTGTAAACGATGTAAACCATCTGATACTAAGTTTTGTTCCTTCTTCGATATCAAAATTTCTTTCAAGATCAAAATAGACGACACCGTATCCATATATGATGATATATAGAGAGTGCTTTGTTATCTTAAGTGGTATAAGTGTCGTGTTTGAGCTTGGAAAGCAAAACAAAAACAAATTTGGAAAAAGTTCAGAAGAAATAGTTTGATCATCTTACTTTGATTTCTCGAACCGAAAGATCCATGAATCGGGAGCTTATTCCTCGCACCAGTTCCAAACTAGTTTCTCCCAGTTTGTTATGATCATTCAGGAAATATATCTGAGAACTCTCGTACAACTTTGAAGTAAGCTACCAGTGCCTATTGGCAAGAACTGGACTTGGATTTGTTAGTAGTGTTCACCCCCTTGTTCTCGAGACAAGGCAAATAGGGATCTATTTATTCAACCTTTCTCTAAGGTTGAGTCCAACCAGGTGGACATGATGATATGTGGGAAGATCCACAGGAACCTCTCGTGTGACCTTACACACGAGTATCTATTTTATGAGATCGATCTTGCCTTAAGTCATTCATTCTACTCCTATGCAAAATGATTTAGGTTGCTTCACCTACGACATGATGATAACTCTTTATACGATGTAGCGTGAGTATACATATGCTTATTTGAAGGGAGAACCATTAGTTCATTATTAGAGAAAAGATACACCAACACACATGTCGAATCATATTAAGTGAAATATTAAATTATCATTACAGAAATATAGATAAAGTTTATTATCATAAAATTAAATGGTATCTATTACGTAAACACAAACTAAAAAGTTTTAAGAGCTTCGAATTTTACATGCAGTTATTATTCAATGAATTTAGCTTTGAATTAAATATAAGAAAAGAGAAAATTAATTTTAACTCAAATTCAATCATAAATCTAAATATTTCAAACATAAAATTTACTTTTACATCTCATCAAATAATTTTTTAAGGTCGGAATGTCAAATTTTGACCGTAAAAGAAGCATAAATTTTATCAAAATCTGAGACCTGGCGTAGGGGCAAAGCCGTTTTACTAAGTTATGAGAAGAAAGAGCGAAACAACTAGGTTGATGTTTAGATAGTACAGACAGATGCGTTTGGTAAATTTAGTCTAAAACTATTGGTTTGAGAGATGATCTCAAGTTAGAGGTTCGTGATCTACGACCAGCCGGGAGACGATGGTTGTAGTTCACGTGTCAACTCTTTTTGCATGAAAGGAACGTCCGAGCCATAGAATACACTAGACCACTACTATCCTAATGGGAGTTTACTCTTCACTTAGCAAATCACAAATGGACAAATAATGAAACAAAAGCACAGAGTGTGGGCCCCACGCTTCTGTTTTTTCATTTCCTCACATTCGTCATTAAATTCCCATAGAGAAGATAGAAAAAGAAATCGGGAGAAATTTTGGAGCAAAAGAAAATGGAGAAAGGCGAGGGCGGCGATCGCGACGGTTCGTTAGAAGCGGAGCAGCAGGAACCGAACTCTGATGAAACTTACCTCACCACTCACCACCTCGCTGCTCCGCCGTCCGGCCTGTCTGAGGACGAGTTTGACGAGTTGAAGGACTTCGTAGCGGAGTTCCACATCTACAAACTCAGCAGCGGTCGCTGCTCCTCCTTGCTAGGGCAGCGGATACAGGCACCGCCGGAGGTCGTCTGGTCTGTTGTACGGCAATTCGACAAGCCGCAGAGTTACAAGCACTTCATCAAGAGCTGTACGGTGAGCGAAGGATTCACATTGGAGATAGGTTGCACAAGAGAGGTGAATGTAATTTCAGGCCTACCGGCGGATACGAGCACGGAGAGGCTTGATATTCATGACGACGAGCGTCGAGTCATCGGATTCAGCATCATCGGCGGCGAACACCGCCTCAGAAATTACCGATCGGTGACTTCGGTGCATCAATTGGAACGGGATGGTCAGATATGGAGCGTGGTTCTGGAATCGTACGCAGTGGATGTTCCGCCGGGGAATACGGAGGAGGATACTCGTCTGTTCGCCGATACGGTTGTGAAACTGAATCTGCAGAAATTAGCGTCCGTCACTGGAGAGATGAATCGAGGAGGTAATCGATGATCTTCTTCCAGCGATTTAAATCATCTCGAACATCTATCTCTTTGATTATCTCTTCGATTGAGAATCGAAGCAAGAATAAGTGAAATTTGAAAATGAAATTGAAATTTGCGATTGGAAATGAATTTTTCTTGATGAGATTTTGTTTCTTTTCATTTTCATCTGCTTTGAGTTTTGATTGTTGATCTTTTTCTGGAAAAACTCATCGGATTTTACTGTTTTCTTTTGGTTTGCTCGATTTCAACAGACAGAGACAAGGCAAGTGATCAAAGTCAATAATGGCGTAGGATGTGGAGTGCATTTCGGTAATGCCAGTGTACAGAACTGCTGAAACGGTGTCGTTTTAGTTCAACTCTCTCTCTTCAACGTATTGGATGAGAATTTGATTTTATATGGAATTACGTGAAATGAAAATTATCATAAACGAAATTATAAAGTATGGTGTACAAGAGATTTGACACTCACAAACTTTGACATCTACCTCCCAATATAATAACATGACGTAGCTTATTTATCTTTGATTGCATATAATAACATGGTTACGTAGCTTATTTATCTTTGATTGCTTCTAAGAGTAAAGAATTTATTTATCTTTGATTGCTTCTAAGAGTAAAGAATGTTTCTACTGATCAATATGAGTTCTTTTAACATGTTTTGTCCTCATTCAGACTCTACTAAAATAATTTCTAGGAGGTCTACTTTTAATATTTTTAACCTCTGGAGGATGCAAATAATAACTACCAATTTCTTTAAGCATTGATTAATTATCATATTCTTATGATTGTTCTCATTCAAATATGTTTTCAATTCCTCATGTGTGATCTCGATCTATTCATGTGTTTTAGATCACATAGATGGGTGAGTAAGAAATTTAATATGAGAGGATGAGCCCACAATATCATCTATAAAACCCAAAAATGCAAACCTGATATCTCATAATCGATTTAATAATTCTGAAATAACATTTTTCTTTTTTATATCTTTTTGTCTCTTCAATTTCTTGAGAATACCAAAATATCTCAGATCATAGACATTTAGAGGAATTAAGCTTCCTGGACCAAAAAGACTAAAGGTCAAAACTTTTGATACTTTTTAGAAGTTTGGGGGAGATAGATTAGGAAATTTCCACTCTTAGAGACCTAATTTCTTCTCAACATTTCTTCCAACCGAAAAAGTGTTTAAATATAAGGCCAAAATTTGAAACTTTTAAAACTACCAAGTCGGAAAAAAGAACACACATGTGAGATCTCACATCGGTTAAGGAGGAGAACGAAACATTCTTTCTAAGGGTGTGGAAACCTCTCTCTAGTATATGCATTTTAAAAACCTTGAGAGAAAGCCCGAAACGGAAAGTTCAAAGAGGATAGCATCTGGTAACAGTGGGTTTGGGCTGTTACAAATGGTATTAGAGCTAGACATTGAGTGATGTACTAGCGAGGAAGTTGAGCCCTCAGGGTGGACACAAGTAGAAATGTCAACAACGATGCTGACCCTGAAGAGGGTGGAGATTGTGAGATCCCACATCGGTGGGGGAGGAGAACAAAACATTATTTATAAGGGTGTAGAAACCTCTCCCTAACAGAAGCATTTTAAAAACCTTGAGGAGAACCCTAGAATGAAAAACTCAAAAAAGACAATATCTGCTAGCGATAAGCTTGAGTCATTGCAACACACCAACCATAGAGACTAAATCATATATTTAACCTACACTTAGCAGAAAATTTGACTTAAAATGAGCTAAAAATTCTTCACAATATGATATAAATTGAAAATAAATCCCACAACAACTCTATAAAGCTTTATTTTCCCTATACAGACAAAATCTAGAGCTTACTTTCTCAACCCGAAGAAAAAAACATACGATGTTGACTATGACTTCATGACCGTTCGATGGATAAAGGTTCCACAGGTTGAAATGAACACAGCATAACAAAAGCAGGCAGCTACAAATGAAACAAAGGCAACAAAAGAACAGATCTATAAACCAGCTAAAAAAATAACTCAGATACCAAATAATGTTGATTCCATCATCTTACAGAGAATTGGACAATTATTCAACTAGACCGACCCCAACCGACCAAGCTATCGACTTGACATCTACGATCCTATGTCTAATGCTACAGCTCTGTTCTTCCTGTTATATATAGTAATACAAATTTGCCTAAAAGGAAAAAAGAAAACATTACAGAAGTTACAGAATTAGATTTTTCGAAACCGAAAATGAGAAGCAAAAGGATTTTACAATTTAAAGTGTTAAAAAATTGAACTAATAGAAAGATATGAAACAGCAAAAGGGTAGAGCTACTAGCTGACACCGTGAGTTTGGTATCCATGTTCAAAATGTCAGCAGACATGGAGCCCTTAAACACGACGAGGGTGCGTGCGTTACTGATCTCTCCATCTTGGACTCATGATTGGAAAAAACCCTGAAGGAGACAATGGAAACATAAGACCTGGGGAAGGTGGTGGATGAGGCCCTGGACCTAAGATCCCGGATTGAGGCATGGCTGGAAATGCAAAATTAGGAGTCAATGGCGGAGAAAATTGTATTCCTGGTGAGAGTAATGGATAGGGTGATTTAGGGGACAACAAATTGTAGTAACCAGTTGGAGAAGGCAATAGAAACTGCGAAGTCGGGGACGGTAAAAGGGCGGGACTGTTCCAGTGCGGTGAAGGCAAGTTCGGCATAGGGGGTGGAGGAGGACCATTGAATCTTGGGGATGGAAGAGCAGGAACAGGTGGATTAGGATTAGGATTAGGCAATAAACCAGATGGAGGTGTTTGAGGATGCATTTGACCAGGAATCTGTGGCTGTGCTACTGGAGATGGATTCATCATAGAATTTTGAAGGTACCGCATGTATGCCGAAATAGGAGACTCGGCAGCCGGGTTCGGCCAATGCGAGTTTCCTCCCGGTGCCAATGGAGGTGGTGGCTGAGCAAACTGTACAGCAGGCCTATGCATATTGTTATTGACTAGACCCTGCGGTGGAGGCACAGGAACTTGGCCAGGAACAGGAGGAGCAGGCATGTTCGGTTGATTCATCGGAGTTAACGGAGGAGGTCTAATTCTCTGCAAACGCATACTTTGGGGTTTTGGAGGATTTTGTGGAGCTCTAGGAGGAGGAGGAGGAGGAGGAGGAGTGTCCTGAGATGGTGAGCCTGTAAGCTGCTGCACAATATTCCGAAAATCATTCTTACTTATATTGTAAATTTGTGGCTGGGGTTGAGGCCTAGCAGCAGTATTTCCAAAACTAGGCTGATGTATTGGACTCTTCCTAATGTTCTTCCCCATTTTATTCACTCCCAAATTCTCATTCTGCCTGTTCCTATCCATCTCCACCGCAAACAAATCCACTAGAACAGCAAGAACAGTCGAATGAACAGCAGAAATTTGAAAATGCAGCCCAATCTCTGGAGAAATTTGAAGATTCTTCTTCTAAATCCAAACGCAGCAGAAATTTGAAGATTCCGGCCAGAACGAACAGCAAGAACAGTCGAATGAACAGGAAGATAAATTCAACCACAAAACTGAAGAAATCGAAAACAAGAACAGAATCATACCGTCCTTTCGATCCTCGGCAGTTTAAACATCTCAGAAACCCAAAAAAGGGCGAAATAGTCTGAAGAACAGCAAACCAAGCGCTGTCACGAACTGAATTAAACAGGGTTCCAACGAACAAAGATTGTAAGGTCTTAAAAATAAGAAGAACAGGGAAGAAAAAGGAAGATTAGGCGGTGAAATTGAGGATCTGAGACGACGAGGAGGAAGAGGTCCAAACCCTAAGAAGGAAGAGGAGATCAAAGGTGCGAAGAAAAAGGCAAGGATGGGATCAAAAAGACGCGAAAGCGAAGAGAAAAAAACAAAGGAACAATTGATTTGAAAGTCAACGGGAAAATTGAAGAAATGGAATGATTTTGAATTCGGTGGTCAGAAATTTGTTCCTGAAATCAGTCGGCGATCGATGGCTGGAAACAGAGAATGAGCCCCAACTTGGAAGTATTCTGGGCTTTTGAGAGAGCCTCGTCAAATTATACCACCTTAATTCGAATATTCCACAGCTCATACCTAAATTTTATATTCAAGAAATTAGTTAAATTTTAAAAGAGTCAAATATTAATAATAAACTACTTAGTCAAATTTAATAAATATTCCCTTAAATAGGTTGTTAATTTATTATATTTACATTCCATCGTATAATATTGTCCATTTTGAACATAAGATCTCATGTTTTGCTTATAAACTCATGCACGATGTGGGACTTCTTTCATAAGAGCGGACTTCTTTCATAAGAGCCATGTCAACAGAACCATGTCTTCAATGCCATGTCAAGAGAACCGTGCGTATTTAACAAAGAAATTGCGAGCCTTGAATATAAGGCCAGAGTGAAGATTACTGATACTTCAAAGAAGAGGAATTGTCTTAATATTGTTGGACGGGTAGGTGATTATTGAAGGGTGTTAGACGAACACGACTCTCCACAATGGTATGATATTGTCCACTTTGAGCATAAGCTCTCATGACTTTGCTTTGGGCTTCCCAAAAGGCCTCACACCAATGGAGAGTGTATTCTTAGATTATAAACCCATGACCATTTCCTAAATTAACCGATGTGGTACTTTCATCATCCAACACCTCCCCTCGAACAAAGCACGCCTCCCCTTAATCGAGGATTGACTCCTTTAGGGAATTAATTAATTAATTAATTTTTTACTTTTTCTTATTTTTTAAATTTGATTGAAATAAAATTATAATTTAAGTGATACATTTATAGTTATGAGTTGAAATTCAAATAAAATTAAGTGATAAAATGTAAATAAATAAATAAAAATATTTTCATCATAAGTTCAAATCATCCCATTCCTAAACAAATTTCAAATTAAAAAAATATATTTAAAAAGCGAGAGAGAGAGAGAGAGAGAGATAATTTTAGGGTTAGGAATTGGGAGATGATTCCTTTTCCTCTCGGATGGCTCGAAGATCCTCAAAGCTCCAATCCCTCCTCATCCCCGCGCTTCTAATCAGCCTCGGCTCCTTACCAGGGCCGCCGAAAGCGACGGTGCCAGTGCTGTGAAGACGGCGGTGGCCCATCGGCGCCACCTTATTCTCCGTCCGGACCCGAAACCCGTCGCTGTTTTGGCGAGTGGGAGGGCGAAACGAGAGGTTTCCCGTCCAGCTTCTGTCCGGCGACTTGGCCTGATCGGTGAAGTATTCATTCTGCTCGAGGTCTTTGTTGGAGTCCGATCTCTGCAAGAAGAGTTGACACGAGAGGCAATTCAGACTCATGATTACAGATTCAGAGGAGGAAGAAGACGACGGAGAGGAGAGGAGAGGAGAGGAGAGGGTTTTGGAATTGCGGATTCGATTGAAAGAGACGAATTTAGGGTTTTTAATTGGGAATTTCACGAAATCCGTAATTACAGCTTAACCAGCCCCTAATTTTAGCCTTATTCCTCCCAATTTTAGGGTTTTTAAATGGATGAGGCTCACGATTCTAATTTTGAAAGATTAGAGATTTTGGGTATTAAATATTTGAAGATTTACCATCTATTCATACGAGCATGACTCTTGTACCATGCAAACCCAACTTTTCACAATGGTATGATATTCTCTACTTTGAGCTTAATCTCTCGTGGCTTTCTTTGGGCATCTCCAAAAGACCTCATAGATATTATTCACTTTGAGCATGAGCTCTAATTTTCCTCTAAATTTCTCCAAAAGACTTTTGTTTATAAACCCATGATCATTCCTTATCATCATCCAACACTAATAACCCTACCAATCCCGATTATCCAATCCAAACCATCAAATTTAGTGATGGACTCGTGTTTTAATTTTAACAAAATAATAATAATAATAATAATTTCACATGAAATTAATGGGGCATAGAAAAAAATAAAACCAAACTTTTATAATCTAATTTCAAACAAGACCTACTTTACATGAAGTAGAAGCCACATAAAAATTATGAAAAATTATATTTTTTTGTCCATACATGTTGTGTAATGTCATCTTCAGCTCTATATATATTTCCACTATCATCTATTATATTAAAAAAAAAAAAAAAAAATCTTTTTTGTCGTAAAGTTCCTAACATGATTGATACGTATCAGATCTATTAAACATTTTTACTTAAAAATGTGATTAATAAAAATATTAAATATTTTTTAAAAATAAAATTTAAATAAATAAAATAATGTCTCTGAGCCCATATATTTGAAATGCATCCAATAGATTTGAGTAAAGGTCTGGACACGAATTTATAACAACCCATCACTAGTAGAAATTGGTTGCATATTACTTCACACTTAGGAATGTTTTATTCTCAACTCAAATAGACATGGGATTTCAGAGTCGGTTCACCCAGACGTGGGATCTCACAGTCACAGTCCATCTACCCCATATGTGGGATCTCAGAGTCCGTCCACCCTTTTGGAGGCCACCTCTCCAATCAATGTGGGATCTCACTATCCACCTCTTTGAGGCTGCCTCTCAAACTAACGTGTTACAACCCACTCCTATGGAGCCCACCTCCAAGCGTCTCACTGGTGCATCACAACATGTGTGACCTCTACTCTACAACATAACCAAGTGTGTAGCTTTGATACCATTTGCAACAGCTGAATCTCACTCCCTTACAACATCCCGAAAACGTGCAACAGATCTTAGAAGAATATGGATTCGAGAATACATTATTGTTATAACAATACCTAAAAACCATATACGAAAGGAGGATAGTTGCAACATACAACCAACTAATAGATATCTATCTCACTTATCACAATCCCCTAAACCTCTTCTCTTCTCTAAATCTCTCTATTTGGGACCCTAAAAAAATAATGTTGTAATTACACACCCCCTTCTCTTCTCTACAACATTCAACGCCGGCACCTTCGAACTTCCGCCATCAGCACCATTTTCAGCTGCTCCGTCGTATAAACTCTGCTCTCCATCTTCACCGCCGCCTGTTGAATCATCAAATCATTCACTACAGAAACACTCGCGTGAATCATTTCCAAATCCAAATCCTTCAACGCCGCCATCAATCTAGCCGCCGGATGATTCTTTTTACTGCATTCAACACGGATCATCGCGTCCGACCCCATGACTTTCACCTGAATCTCCATTTTCAGATCTTCATTTACTGTATTCGTGTAGTTTCCGATGTCTTTCCGTCCTGTTCCGCCGTCTTTTTTCATGAATTCTAGCTGTTTTTCGATCTCCGTCTTCTTTGATTCCGCCATTTCGAGCTTCAATTTCAGTTCATTAATGTAGGAGACGGTGTCGCCGAGCAATGAGGCTTTGTCCATTTTTGATACGTTTGGCACTACTGCTCGGAGAGCGTAGAATTTCTGGTTAAGTTTTTCCCGGCGTTGTCTCTCTGCTTCTACGTGATTCAATGGCTCTTCTCTTCCGTTCGCCGGTTTTCTGCCGCGTTTTCTCGGTCGTTTTTCGGGTTCTGATGGTTTTATACAACTATCCACTTCTGGAATGGCTGAAGCTTCGGGATCTGAGTGGTCGGAGTCGCCGGATTTTACCTTGCCGAAAAAGGGTAAGATCGCGTCGGTGGTGAAACAGAGGATCCCTTCGTCGGTGCTTCTCCGACTAGTCGGAGATTTCTTTTTCTCATTCTGTGAGTTACCGGAGAAGAAACTTTTGTTGCCGAAGCTCATCATCCCACCGGATTCCGACTTGAATGATGGGTTCGTGGTGGCGGCCGCGGCGGCATAATCGGGGAAATTCAAGCTGTGGGTTTGTTTCCTGCTGGCATTTTCCGTTAAGCTGCTCGAACTGGGATTTTCTGAATGGATTGGCTTAGCCGACGCGCCGCCGGAAAGTACGGTGGTGGTAATCGAATCCTTCATTTCAATGGTGCTCGACGGCTCACTGATCCATAACGACGAAGGGTCGTTTTCCCCTTCGTCGGCGACGGTGACGCCGGTGGTTCCCGATTGCCAAGAACCCGTTTCGAGATTGTTGAAATTAAACAGAGTCTTGACCTTGTTCATCAAATCCGTCGTTATGTAAATCGCTTCCGTCGAACCCATTTCGACGACGCCGTTGGGTAATGGAATACACACCATCGTCTGCAACCCGAAGATCCTCCCCTGTCTAGCGCGATCACATGCCGACGCCGACAGTCGGTCGGCGCCGGTTATCCAAATCGGCCGGGAGCTTAAAAGCGCCTGACTCGGTAACCCAACTCCATTAACAAACGACTGAGTCATCGAAACCAAAAAGAACCATTCGGTGTCGGTAACCTCTTCATCCACCACATCGTCCAGTCCGGTAGCGGAGCCGGAAATCAACGAGTTAAGCTCCCGGAGCACCTTCTTCCGGTGAGCCTGCTCCGCCGCAGAGGAAACCATTTTCGTTTTTCCTCTCCCTTTATTCTCCTCGCCTTTGTAATACCCATCTCCCCACCCTAAAACCGACCCGCCGGAATAATCATACGACGACTGCCAGAAAATCGCGTACGTCCAACTCTCTCTAGCACCGTCGATGAGCGCCTGGAGGCGCTGCTGCAGAGTCTCCTGGTTCAAGACAGCGATAGACTTGGAGGGGACGGACGGTGGAGTAGTGGTGGAGGCGGAGGATTGCGTCGGAGGTGGGTGGTGGAGAGATTGAGACGACGCCGCCGACGGAGCCCAGTAAGAGGACAGATCGGAGTTCGTGAAAGCATCCATGGCCGACGCGTTCTCGTCGGTCCAGAGATTCATGGTGGAAAAACGGTAATCTGTCATGCGAGATTATGATCGGAAACTGAAATTGAAAACGGAATTATTTGGATTTTGATTTTGATTTTGATTTTAGAAATTTGGGTCTCCGATTTGTGGCGTTTGGATTGGGATTTATTCGCGCGAGTAGCAAAAAGGTATGGGAGGAAGAAGAAGAACAAGAAGAAGGGAGGAGGAGGCTTCTTTTTTGGATCGCCGATTTAATCGTTCAAAAACCCGGCATCTTATTCAACTCGTCGCTTAGTACTATACAATAACTGGAGTAGCTGCCACGGGTTCATTTTGGTCCGGTTCGGTTTGGTTTTATTAGCACGTGACTGGCACGTGAGAAGTGATTGGGGAATCGTGATCGTGGCGTTTGGTTTGAGAGCTTTGGGGGGTAACCGTTTTTTCAGACTTTTGACCGATCCCTTTGTTGCCACGGTGTTTGCCATTTGGCATATTAGAATTCGACACGTGTCTACTAGTTAAAATATTAAAATCTATTTAATAAATAAAAATAACTTTTTAAAATTTGAAGATTAAGAGAGAATATATATTTTTTTTAAAATTATAGAAATAAAAAGTTTCTAAAGCACAATATTACAAATATTTTGACTTAAGAGTATAATTTTGATCTTTAATTTCCTTTTTCTAAAAACGACAAATAATTCCTATCTTTTTTTTATTTTATTTGTTTTAATTAAATTTTAGATTTAAATATTACACAATTATAATTATAAAAACCGAGCCATTATAGGAAGTTTGAATATTTTATCCTAAAAAAAAAGACGATAAGAACGACTACTTTTTTCGAAAGGTAACACATTCTTCATATAAACTTATTCTCGTCATTGACACAAAATAAAGTAATAAAATAATGAGTCCAATTTTATTTATGACCAGTGGAATAATGAGTCCCGTCTCATAATTTCAAAATAATATTCCTCGCCGATTTTATTTATTTTATTAAAAATATATTAATTAAATTTAAATATTTGAAAGTACACTAAGGACGGCTGCTTGACCAAACTTTTTTTTTTAATTATAAAATTCAGTATTTTCATTTAAAATTTGAAATAATGATAAATTAAACATTTAAAACTATAAATAAAAAATGTATATTAAGAAAAAAAAAAAAGCAGAACTCGGGAGCCAAAAAATCGTCTCCAACGTGGGCTGCCACGTGGACCCCATTATAATAACCACACGGCTTCTGATGCTCTAAAATCAAACAAAACACTAAAAAAATAACAAAAATCCAAGTTTAGTGGGGAGAGTGAACGCTGGCCGTTGATTTAAGGCAGAATGGGGACCAGAGGTTTGATAGAGAAACCAACGGCTGAGATTTCGAGTTGGTTCAATTAAACATTTTTTGGTTAATTACATAATTCCCGCACCTTTTTTTGTGGAAACGTGACTTGAAAAGGACATTTTTTTTAAATAATAATAATAATAATAATAATTTAATTTAATAATTTATTTTTTTTATGCATATTTCCCACTTTTCCACGTCTTTTTTTTTTTGTTCTTCTCTGATTTTGTCTGTGTTTTACTTTATTCAGGAAATTTTTCATTGTATAAATGATTGAAATTTTAACCAAAAAATAAATAATAATAAAAATAATTAATAACAATATAAAAATATCTATAAAGTCATTACATTTAATAAAATTAAATTTGATTAAAGCTTCAAATTAATTGCTAGATAATATTGCTTGTGGTCACAAATTTCAATTAATTTTTTTTTTTGTTATAATGTCATTTTTTTAATTATCAAATAAAATGAATTAAAAATATTAAAATTAAATTATATAACAACGTGGACCACTTTTTATTAATTTTAGATAAATCTCAGCCTCAAAATTTAAATATAAATATATGAATTGAAATTATTATTAATATTTTACAAGTTTGAATAAATAAAAAATTAAACTATAAAAACTAATTTTATTTAAGATTTATTAAAAAAGAATATAGAAATAAAATTAGACAAAAGCCCAAGATCAAACCTAAACCCTAAAAAATCACATTTTTTTTAATTTTTTATTTACATTAAGTTAAAGATGAATTTGATGTAAAAACATTTTAGTCACGACTTTGACTTGAAATGAACCCGAGTCAAAGATGGCTGCTACTAGTTCTCGCTAATTGTTACGTGTTGTCATTGATCATTGATAGTGGTAGTCAGTAGAGGTTACCGGAGATCAACAATTATCACTAATTGTTTGATCATAGTTTTGCAGCGCTAGAGGTTTGTGTATGTCTTTGTCTCAACCCAAATGTCTCGTTTATTCCCACACCTCTATAAGAAGTTATCCGTTCCCATCTCCAACCTCATTGACTCCTACAACATCCTCACTGACAAACTGCCTTGTGTCTAGCTTTGATACCATTTTTAATAGCTCAATTCACTGCTAGTAGATATTGTCTGCTTTGACCTTTTACATATCACTATCAACCTCACGATTTTAAAACATGTCTAGTAGGGAGATGTTTCACACTCTTACAAGGAATGCTTCGTTCTTCTCTCTAATTATGTGAAATCTCACCATACGATAAACAAGTGCCCAAATCTACCACTAGAAGATATTGTCTTCATTGGGCTTTCCCTTTCGGGTTTCCCCTCGGGCTTTAAAACGTGTCTGTTAGTGGAAGGTTTCCACACCTTTATAAAGGGGTGGTTTATTCTCCTCTCCAACCAATGTGGGACATCACAATCCACCCCCCTTCGGGGCCTAGTGTCGTCGCTGGCACTCGTTTCTTTCTTCAATCGATTGGCACACCGTCTCGTGTCTACCCTCCTTCAAGGAACAACGAGAAGGCTGACACATTGCAGGTGTCTAGCTATGATACCATTTGTGACGCCCCAGATCTACCGCTAGCAGATATTGAAATATGAATAGAATCACTAAATGCAAGTTGATTCCTTATGAGGTGTTCGTAATTATAGTTAAATTTAAAGTTTGTTTTACCATTGTAATTATATCTCATACTTTTTTAGTACCATTGATCCTCTAATTAAAAATTTGTTTACGATATATATGATATTTCGACTCACCTCTTTTCATATAAATAATTCGAATAAAATCAAATGTAGCTATTATAAAGTAAGTTATATCAATAGTGTTACTCGGATAAGACACCAAACCTTATCCATAGACAAAATCGGTCAACTATATACTATTCAATATTATACTAATAATCTTCCATTTTTCATATATTGAATAATATAAAAATTGTAATTAAAAAATAATTAAAATAATAAAATACTAATTACGAGACTTTCCTATAATAATAATAAAGTATTAATTAATTTTATATAATTTAGATACTTCAACATTTAGGTTTGTATTTATTTAATCTCAAAACTTTTTAAAATTATAAAATTTAACTTGCAAATGACGAAGATACCCTTCTATCGTGCAAACTTGGACTCTTCTTTTAGCCCCTAAGGTGCCCTCTCATTTAAGAAATATAAAAAGGCTATTTTGGTAATTTCGTTCAGAGTTTCCTTCAGAATTAGAAAAAAGAAGAACAGAGAGCGATTTCTGCAGTTTCAGACTTTCAGTCCGATCATCTTCTTCTTCTTCTTCTTCCTCGTCTTCTTCAATTTCCCGAAGGAGGTGTTCGTTCAAGCACACCCCCTTGGGAATCTTGCTCTGCGTGTTCCTCTTCAATGGCGTCCTATGGCTTCTCCGACAAGAACGTCGTCTTCAGAAAACTCAAAGCCAAGTCTGAAAACAAGGTATTCCTTTATTCACGACTTATATCCATTGCTTATTTGAATTCCTTTCTCTTTCGTTTACGTATTGAATTTCCTCCTTCCGATCTGTATGTTTCATATCGAGATCTCTGATTCTGCATTGAAACGAAATCTCGTGTGTTTTTTTTTTCTTTTTCCAGATGTGTTTTGATTGCAATGCTAAGAATCCGACTTGGGCTTCTGTTACCTATGGTATCTTCCTTTGTATTGATTGCTCCGCCGTTCATCGCAGCCTTGGCGTCCATGTTAGCTTTGTCAGGTGATTTTTCTGTTTGGGTTTTGATTTCAACGTCCACTGCTTTGATTATTGGCTCTGAATTGACCTTCCTTGAACCATTTCTATGTGCTTGTTTTCTCATAGAGTATGTGTAGTTATTAGAAGTGCATTACTTGTGTCTTATTCTAATGCCTCTTCTACGTTAAACTCTGTCCTCCTACTTAGTCGCCCTGCATTTATGTTTTAGTGTCTTGTTCAGAATGTTCTTTGAGATGGGTTCATGTAAATTCATTAACCTTGTATCTCAATTGATGGCCATGGACAAATACACAAGAAAGATCGTTTCGTGAAACTCAAACCTTTAGATTAGAGTTTTGCTGGGAGATTGTTTTTATGTGGGTTTGAGTCTTTCCTGTAAACCTTAAAGTAGTTTATATCAGTACTGATATATTAGTTGAGGAAGAAGTACAATATACCAAAATATAGGCAATTACTCGTGAGAAGGTACCCCAGTCCTTCTGACTAAACCTAAAGGGAAGTGTTTAAGATTGACACCTGTCCTGCAATTAAAATGTGAGATCCCACATCGATTGAAGAAAGGAACGAGTGCCAATGAGGATGCTGGCCTTGCAGGGGGTGGATTGTGAGATTTCACATCGATTGGAGAGGAGAACGAGTACCCGCGAGGATGCTGAGCCTTGAAGGGGGGTGGATTGTGAGATCTCACATCGGTTGGAGAGGGGAATGAAGCATTCTTTATATGGGTGTGGAAACTCTTTCCCTAGCATATACGTTTTAAAAATCTTGAGGAGAAGCTCGAAAGGGAAAGCTCAAAGAGAACAATATCTGCTAGCGGTGGGCTTGGGCTATTATATAAATTATGTTATTATAAAATAATAATTATACAAAACTTATAACATTAAATAGGTTCTTAAATTTATTAATAATGGTTTATATTCAACCTAGTATTTAGTTTTGCAACTACAACTAGTTTCATGGTCTATTATAAATTATATTACACATTTTGAACAATTGGAATCGAGTTTCTAAATCTGCTACCAAACACATATCTAAAAACATGAAATACCACTCTGATTTTCATTGAATCCATTAAATTCTGTTTTCAGATTGCCTACCAAAGAGGCCCTAAGCTTCTTGCTTGTCATTTTGGATCTTAAAATTTTCAGTCTGGTGAAATTCTGCACTGTTATAAATTCGAGTCTATAAGCACCAATAAGATAACATTAGTGGCCTCAAAGGAAGCACTACATGTATTGAGCCAACAGAAACTGTATGTCTCTGATGCCTATGTTGGTATTAAATACACCTGACTTGCATAACTTGCTACTCAGGATTTGAAATGGAATGAAGTGTCCAAGGTTATGACTTATGATTATTGTGTCTGAGGGTACAAGCATTTTGTCCGCTTATGATATTTTGATGTAAATTAACTTTCAATTTATTTAGGTCAACAAATTTAGATTCTTGGTCTCAAGAGCAGCTTAAAGCAATGAGCTTTGGAGGGAATAACCGAGCTCAGGTTTTCTTTAAGCAGCATGGATGGACTGATGGAGGCAAAATTGAGGCCAAATATACGTCAAGAGCTGCCGAATTGTATAGGCAATTACTTACAAAAGAGGTTGCTAAGAGTATGGTAGAAGAGACAGGGCGGCCATCTTCACCAGTTGCTTCTCAGTCAGCACAAGCAACAAATGGACCTCCTGATGTCAAGACTAATGCAATTATGAAAGACAATGTCTCAAGAAAGCAAGAGGCACCAGAAATTTCTGCTTCACCGAAAGCTTCTCAGACAGTATTCTCAAGCACTGTGAAGAAGCCCATCGGCGGGAAGAAGCCAGGGAAGACAGGGGGACTTGGTGCCCGAAAACTTACTGCAAAGGTAATAAAAATAGTGCATCTACCTCCATGAATAGAGCTTTTATTGGTCTTTTAAATAAAGTCTCTATATTGATTTTTAAATGCATTTTGCTTGACTGTATGATTTGTATTCCGTGCAGCCAAGTGAAAATTTATATGACCAGAAACCTGAAGAACCCACGATTCCAGTTTCATCTCCAACGACAGCCAAAAGTCCTGCAGCTGGTTCATCTTTTGCTTCTCGCTTTGAATATGTAGAAATTGTCCAATCATCTGATGTGAATTCTGGTGACTCTCATGTGGTTGGCCATGTAGCTCCTCCAAAGGCAACGGGCTTCTTTGCTGAGTTCGGAATGGATGGTGGTTTTTCACAGAAAGCTAGTTCCAGTTCCTCAAAAGTGCAGGTTAGGCATTGTTCTTCCGAGTTTATAATGAATTTGGCATGCTTCGCAATATCAGCCATAAAAAAAAAAAAAAACGAGGAATTGTCTAATGTAGGCCATAAATCTAGAAACATTTTTCTTTTGCCATCCTTCATTATTCATGAATCATTTTTGTTCTTAGTCTTGCATATACATCAGCATCAGTAACTAGCTTTCTGTACCTTGTGTTTCTAGTTAAATGCAATTAGGCTTTTTTGATGTCTGAGAACGAGGTGCTCTTTATTGGAGTTTTACTCAAAAAATGAGTTATTCTGAACATGCATACATCTTTTTCTTAATTCCATGTGATGAAATTTTCTTAACAATGTCCGTTACTTGTTGTAGTGATTGAAATGGGTTTCCTGGAGAACTATTTTTTTGGATAAGAATTGTGAACATCCCTTTACAATTAGGCATAGCAGTGGACCAATGGTGTATTTCTGTATTCTCTTCTAATGCTACCGATAGTTCTATACTTCCTTGGAGCATTTTCTACATGTTATTCTCTTTATATACAAGACCGTGTTCATGTATGGATAAGAAGCGATCTATTGCTAGTAAAACGGTACCCATTGAGATTCCTATGAAAAAAAAATCCTCAGTAGTGACATCATAATAAGTATCATGCTGGTTGAGCGCATTGGTCCACGATATGTCTCTTCATTTGTTCTCCGTTCTCACATTATGATGATGTTAGATTGAAGAAAGTGATGAAGCTAGGAAGAAATTCTCCAATGCGAAATCTATTTCGTCAGCGCAATATTTTGGTGATCAGAACAGAGCTGATGCTGAAGCTCAGGCCTCCCTGCAAAAGTTCTCAGTATGTATCTTTATCGCTAATGTCGTGGAATTTGTTGTCCACACCTTTTCATGTCGTACGTATTTATATAGAAACTCTTACCGTTTTGACCCTTCAATCCTTCATGATGGGGCAAGAATTGCGTCTGTATGTTCTCTATATTCTGTTTCTTTCGTTTACTGACTAGGTTAGTGTGTATGTATATCAGTTAAGTTCTCGTTTAGAATGAAATAAGGATTATTATCACTGAACATATGGTTATGTATAAACTCATTCTGGGAAGCAAGGATACTCTATTTCTCATAGAGTTTTGGCGTTTGATACGCACTTGACACGTAACCAACGGGTCTCGTAATTTCCTCACATTTAGTACATGTTTATGAAAGAAAAATCATTCTCTAGATAAAGATGTCACTAAGGCACGAACCCGCGGGAAAACAAAGGTAGCTGAAAGCTCCTTAAAACAAATCTTGTTGAAAAAAAAAGGAAGAACACCTGTCATGACCTACTTCTTTTAGAAGTTGATGCATTCCACGGATTGGATCGAAGTCGTTTTGTCGTAGAGTAGATCTCTGAATCTATACATTTTGTGAAATGGGTATATAGTGCTTGTATTCCTCTTACTCTCCATCCTTCTATTCACAGGGTTCGGCTTCCATCTCTAGCGCCGATCTATTCGGTCACCAGCGAGATAATCCTTCTGTCGATGTTTCTGCAACTGAGTTTATTAACCGGATTTCCATTCAGGTTCTACATCATCCTTATTTGTTAAGTTAGTGTTTCACTTTCTCAACTCTCTTAGCACTTCATTTTACACACCACCATCCATTTACTTTGGCAGGCGCAGCAGGATCTTTCTTCTCTCAAGAACATTGCAGGAGAAACAGGGAAGAAGCTTAGCTCTTTGGCATCCACATTAATTACAGATCTTCAGGACAGAATCATTTGATACATTTTGAACTGTTCTCCATTGTAGAATTTGGCTCGAACTCGATCTCGAACTTCATACAGTTTGATTACTAGCCGATTCTACTACTGAGGAATGTAAAGAAAAGAAAATACCAGTATACTGATTCTTTAAAAAAAACAAGCTTTACACAGGACTTGAATTTGGCTGGTATTTTGTTTCTCCTCCTTTCTTTCTTTCTTTCTAGCAGCTGCAGTGAACATGTGGTAGTTTAGTTCTGTTTTTCTAGCAAACATACCATATTTTCACCACCAAAAGTTGGCTTTCCTGATCTCGTAGGAGCTTAGGACCTGAATTTGTATGGAGTATTGCTTATAGTTCTGTGAGTTTATTGTATGTGTTTCAGTAATATTTGTGTTCTATATTCAAATAGCAAATATATAAGTCTGCAGCGTTAAATTTCTATGTAAATATGGTTTTGAAGAACTTCTAAAGGTTACGTTGTCCCAATCCATCACAAGCAAAGTAGAATGGAGCGTCTCGGCATATTTTAGATGCTTGAAGGCCCTGCTGCGGCTGAAGGAGAGTGAAGAAGTTGCAACCCCCTCTAGTTCAGTGTCACAATCGCACTTTTAATGACAGCAGACTTACGATTGTACGACACTCACTTTCCAATGACAAGTGAGTTAGGTCAATTTGTTCTTGCGTCACTTATGGCCAAGCGACGTATGCTCGAGCCTCTGGCCTTAGTTTTAAGAGAAGGTTTTAGGAAGCGAGGGCAGAGAGATTTTCGAAAAAGAGATTTTTGAAAAAGACGTTATATAAGCAAACCAGAGAGAAATAACAGCGGGTCGGGAGAAGTTGATAACTAGCCGTATCTCCCTATAGTACATTCTGAGGCATTTCATGTCTGACAGGCCTAGACATGATATTTTTGAAACGTTATACTTTCTAGAAATATAAAAGTAAAACACTAGAATATGAAAAGGCATAAAGGGTTGGGCTTGTCATGGGCATGCGGCCATGGGCAACACACCTTGGACGAGCATGACTGTGACATCCTCCCCCACCTAATTGGTTGACGTCCCTGTCAACCGACTACTTTCGAACCTGGCGATGTGAGTGGCGGCGGAATCCAGATCTTCGGCGCGTTTCCAGCTGGTTTCCTCCGTAGGGAGATTCTTTCATTTGACAAGGAATTCATGAATCGTCCGTACGAGTCTTCCTATCTTCCTAACCCTGTCAGCAGGATCTCCTCTATTTCTTTGTTGTCTCTTTGTTTCAGATCGATGCTCGGTCTTGTGATTACATTTGGTTGGTCGTCGTCCGGGTCAGGGTGATAAGGCTTCAAGTTGCTCACATGAATTACTGGGTGAATTTTCATCCATGTGGGTAGTGCAACTCTGTAGGAGGTAGCCTCGATTTTTTTGAGGACTTCAACCGGGCCTTCATATTTTCGAACTAGTCGCTGGTCCTTTCGGCTGCGAAATCTGATCTGTTCTGATCTCAACTTGATGAGGACTTGATCTCCTGCTCGGAATTGAAGGGGGCGATGCTTCTTGTCTGCTCATTTCTTCATATGCTTGGAAGCTTTCTCTAAATATGCCCAGACTATATCTGTTGTCTGCTTCCATTCGCTTGTGAAGTTTTGAGCTTGAGGGTTTTTCCCTGCATAAGCATAAGGATGATCAATAATATGTGGTAAGGCCTGTTGTCGTCCACTTACAATTTTAAAGGGGCTCTTCCCCGTAGACAAGCTTGTTTGATAATTGAAACAGAATTGGGCCACATCTAGCAGTTGTATCCAGTTTTTCAGGCGAGTGTCGACGAAGTGACGTAAGTATTCTTCGAGCAAGCAGTTGAACCGTTCCGTCCGTCCATCGGTTTGGGGATGGTAGCTCGAAGAGATGTTTAAAGTCGTTCCCAAGAAGGCGAATAGTTCGGTCCAAAATGTGCCAATGAACCTACCATCCCTATCACTGATGATGCTCGACGGAATGCCTCATAACTTGACAACGTGTTTGAAAAATAGTTTGGCTGTTAGTTCAGCCGAGCATAATTTGGGAGTGGGAACAAACGTCGCATATTTCAAGAACCGATCTACGATAACCAAGATGGCGTCATATTCTTCGATTTTTGGGAGGTGTGTTATGAAGTCTAGAGACGCTTTCCCAAGGTCTTGTTGGCAAAGGTAGAGGTTCCAAGAGTCCCGAGACTTTGGCTTTCTCGACTTTGTCCTGTTGGCAGATGAGACACGTCTTGGTGTATTGCATGATATCGTCCCGCATATTCGGCCAGAAGTACCCCTTTTTTATTAGGGCTTACGTTCTTTGCCACCTAGGGTGTCCTGCCCATAAGGTATCATGACATTCCTAAATGAGCTTCTTCCTCAGTTCTCTCGTTCTTGGGATGTATAACCTATTTACTTTAGTCATTAGAAGGTCTCCCTCGACCCAAAACTGTCGTGTCTTCCCAGCTTTAGCTAGTTTGACGACGGCTTTGGCCGATGAGTCTTTGTGTAAATGTTCTTTTATGATGTCGCTCATCGATCCATCGATTTTACTTGAATGAATATGGGCTAACATGCACAGGGCCGCATGTTTGCCCTTCCGACTCAGTGCATCAGCTGCTTGATTACTCTTCTCTGCCTTGTGTTCGAATTTGAAGTTGAATTTTGCCAACGACTCTTGCCACCGGGCTTGTTTTGCCGTCAATTTTGGTTGATCGAAGAAGTGGCAGGTAGTGTTGTTATCCGTCTTCACTATGAACTGTGATCCCAAGAGATACTGTCTCCAAACTCGTAGGCAATGAACTACAGCCAACATTTCTTTTTCGGAGATAGTGTATCTCCGTTCGGCCTCATTGAGCTTTCGACTTTCATAAGTGATGGGGTGCCCTTCTTGAATAAGGACACCGCCTAGGGCAAAGTCGGAAGCATCTGTTTCTATTTCAAATGACTTTGTAACATGTACTAACCCGAGGACAGGACCCCTCGTCATGGTTGCCTTCAGATCTTCAAAGGCCATTTGACATTTATTTGACCACGACCAAGGGTGGTCTTTATTTAGGAGCTCTATTAAGGGGGCGGCTCGTCGTGAAAACCTTTCGACGAACGGCCTATAGTAGTTTGCTAATCCTAAGAAGGATTACACATCAGATACAGAAGTAGGGACTTTCCACTCTTGGATAGCTTTTATCTTATCACTATTCATCCCGATCTGTCTACAACTGATGACATGTCTGAGGAAGTTGATGCACGTCTGTGCGAAGACACATTTTTCTTTCTTGACGTACAATTGATTTTGCCCAGCTTGTCAAATACCAGCTTCAAGTGTACCTTGTGTTCCTCTAGGGTTGTGCTGTATACAACTATGTCATCGAGGTATACTATGACGAACTGATCTATGTATTCGTTGAAAACCTGGTTCATTAACGTGCAAAACGTAGCTGGGGTATTTGTCAAGCTAAAGGGCATCACCAGGAACTCGAAGGCCCCATATCTTGTCATGCACATCGTCTTGGACTCGTCCTCCTTGGCGATACATACTTGGTAGTACCCTGATCGTAAGTCTAACTTCGTGAAGTATTTGGCCTTGTGAAGTTGGTTGAACAAGTCGGATATTATCGGTAGTGGGTACTTGTTGCGTACCGTCACCTTGTTTAAGGCTCTATAATCTATGCACAGACGCAACGTCCCATCCTTCTTTTTCTGAAATAGTACGGGGGCTCCGTAAGGTGCTTTTGCCGGGCAGATGAATCCTTCCGTCAACAACTCATCTAGTTGTTTCCTCAATTCAGCTAGCTCAGGGGGAGCCATCCGCGTTCTTCGCTGGGGGTTTAACCCCGGGAAGGAGTTCAATTTCGTGATCGATGCCTCGATGGGGTGGTAATGTTTGTAGTAGGCTCTTTGGCATTATGTCAGCGTAACTGGTTAGTACCTCCTTGATTTTGTCTGGGATAGTTTCCTTAGTAGTCACTTCTTCCATTAGTGGTATAGCCATAAATGTAGGTTCCTCTCATGCGAGCCCTCTTTTCAATTGTATGGTCGAGATCATTTTAAGATTACCTGGCTGCTTGATGCTTGCAGGTATTACTGCGGGATTGCGGTCGGTGATCACCAAGCATTTTGCGAGTGGCATTGGGATAACTTTGTGTTCTAGGAGGAACTCCATCCCAAGTACCACGTCAAAGTCGTCCATGCAAACTACGACAAGGTCCAGCACTCCTGTCCAAGTCCCTAATTTGAAGGGGACTCTTTTGAAAACTCCTACAATAGGCAAGGCTTCGGAGTTGGCAGCTTTCATTTTTTCAGGGTTCTTTCCTATGGTGAGTCCTAATCTTCGGGCTTCTTGATCGGCGATAAAGTTGTGAGTCGCTCCTGAGTCTATCAAAGTGCTCTTGCTTGGTCGAGAGTTTATTGTCACATCTACAAACATGAGATCTTTCTCTATTATCTCCTTCGGTTCGACCTTCCGTTGAAGAGCTGACAGGAATTTGAGTGCACCCATTCGGGGGTTGTCTTGATCTTCCTTCTTGTCTAGCATAGTCTCGACTATTGTGTCGTTGCTCTCTTGGATGGACACTTGGAGTGCAGTGAGAGAGGCCCGATGAGGACAGTAGGACACTTTGTGGGGGCCTTTACACAATATGCATTGTAAAGGTGTTGTCTGGTGGTTCCTTTGAGGGTAAGGTCCTCAAGATGTCCCCGCTTGGTTGTTCTGAGGAGGTCTATCTGTCCACCCGCTTGGTCTGTCGTTACCTCCGTTTGCCTGTTGGGGCTTCCATTTTAGTGACCTGGCGGTTTATATGTTTTGCCCCCAGTGTTTGAGACCTGTGTTGTTTTTCTTTGGTAACTCACCTCGTTCTCATAGTCTAGGAGTCTATCGGTGCTGACAATTGCGGTAGCTAGGTCTTGAACCTTTTTCTCGTGTATTTTTGTTTTGGTCCATGGTTGTAACCCATTTATAAAGAAGAACACCTTGTTCTTCTCTGATGTGTCTCTAATATCTAGCATCAGGGTCGAAAATTGTCTGACATAGTCTCTTATGCTTCCAGTTTGCTTGAGGGCTATTAGTTTTTCCATTGCTAGATGGTCTACGTTTTCAGGGAGGAATTGGTCCTTCAACTCTCTCTTGAGGTCTTCCCACAAGTCTATGGTGTACAATCCATTCTCGATATTTTGTACCTTCAAATGCCACCAAAGTTTGGTGTCGTCTATGAGATACATCGAGGCTACTGTCACCTTTATGTCGTCGGTACAAGCCAGTGTGGCTTTGAAGTACTGTTCGACATCAAAGATGAAGTTCTCCAACTATTTGGCATCCCAGTTCCCTTTGAAAGGTCTAGGTTCGGGAAACTTCAGTTTGTTGGATCCTGTATCAGTTTGCTCAGCCGAGACATTCTCCACGACTTTCATGGTCACCTCGATTCGGGTGCTCATGGCGGACATCTTTTCTTGCATGTCATCGATCGTTGTTCTGAATTCATCAGCTAATCCATTGAACAAACTCATCATTGTATTTTGTAGCACGTCGAACTCTTCGCCACGTTCTTCCTTGTGTGCGACAGAGCTATTGGGGCTACCAGACGGTCTTGGGCTGCTCGTAGGAGCAACCTTTTCTTCGAGTGAGATCACTCGAAACATCAGTTCTGCGATTGGCAACCCATCCAGGCGGTTACCCATTGCGTCGATTTCTACGACTTTTCCACTCAATTCTTTCACCCGTGCTTCCAGGAAGCGGATGGTGTCAGGGACTTCTTTGAGGAACAACATTCCCTCCTCTATTAAAGTAAGTCAGTCGGCTTGTGCTTTGGGTGTCGACTTTATCGTCGACATGTTCTCGGTCTTTGCTATTTCACGGAGCTTACAAAGCTTTGATACCACTTGTCACAATCGCACTTTTAATGGCAGTGGACTTGCGATTGTGCGGCACTCACTTTCCAACGACAAGTGAGCTAAGTCAATTCGTTCTTGCATCGCCAATGGCCAAGCAACGTATGCTCGAGCCTCTAGCCTCGATTTTAAGAGAAGGTTTTAGAAAGCGAGAGTAGCGAAAGATTTTTGAAAGAGACACTATATAAACAAGCAAGAGAGAAATAACAGCCGCTTACGGTATATAACCTTGGGTAAGGAGAAGTTGACAACTAGTCGTATCCCCCTATAGTACATTCTGAGACATTTCATGTCTAACAGACTTAGACATGATATTTCTGAAACATCATACTTCCTAGAAATATAAAAGTAAAACACTAGAATATGGAAAGGCATAAAGGGTTGGGCTTGTCATGGGCATGCGGTCATGGGCAACACGCCTTGGACGAGTATAACTGAGCAACTTCCCTAGCTTAGCCCACGGCTCTAAACTTCTTGGTTTTTTCTCTTTCACTTGAACCTCTATTCTCTTCAGTTCTTGTCATCTAGAAAGATGAAAGATAGAGTTAATTTGTGCCTTCATTAAACTTAATTTCGTAACAGATATTGTCCACTTTGAGCATAAACTCTCATGACTTTGGTATGAGCTTTCCAAAAGACTTCATACCAATAAAGATGTATTCCCTAAATTCGCCAACGTGATACTCTCTTCCAATAATCCTCAACAATAACCGTACCAGAGAATTTTACTTACTGTATTCCGTATAGTCGTTCATATAAAACTTACCCAAAGGTCCAAGTCGGACGGGAGGAACTAGGCTATACGTTTTTGTATTTTTATGAAAAGCTCTACAGTACCCACGATTCCCAATCCGGTTAAGTTGCAATCTCCCGTCCAAACTTTTTAATTTTATATTCTTTTCATAGAAAAAAAAAAAACAAAGAAATGCTTTAGAACATCATAAAGCACAGCACATAGTTTTACTTTTTTTCTTTTTTTTTTTTCTTTTGAGCTTTGAAGTTGTGATGTGATGTTTCTACAACTTATTGTATTATGGGTTTTCACTTCAATAATTTAGTGGGAACCCCACAATTAATAATTGCACGCTCACCATAAAATAAAGGGACAAAAAGAAAATAATTAAAAAAACTCGATCAATTGAATTAGCTCGGGTACGATCTAAAACGATCTCACATTCTTTGGACAATGAAAAGCCTTCGTTGAGTAATGGAAAGCGGGCTAGTCCCCGAAGAAGCCTTGCCAACTATAAGAAATAGTTGTGGCTTATTAAGTTCTTACCGAATCAATTTTATTTAATTTTTATTATTTATTTCTTGAAATTTTGATTTGATAATATGAACCATCTAAAAATGTTTATGGAAGGAATGTTAACGATGTAAACTAATGTTTTATTCTCGTGAGACTTTTATGTATGTGTATGATTCATATATATGTATGAAATGAAAGGCAAAGAATGATTGCGTATGATATCTCTTTTGGGGTCCCTGCTAGAATTAAAGCATTTAATATAGAGTCAAGGCATATGAAAGTGATATCATTTACGCGTGAGCGTGGTCATTTCAAGGCTCGAGGATTACAAACTTGATATGAGTATGGTGAGTTTTTTTGGTATGAAAGAAGTACACATCCCGAGTGTAAAACAAAAACTGGAACCCAAGCTCGTGGTTTTAGGTTCCACTAAAAAGGAATGTCGTGCTTCATGTTGCATGTGACTGTATTTTTCAACTCTAATCATGAAGTCACTTACCGAGTCAAAATGGTTCGTTTTCAAACCAGAGTAAGTGCATTATTTCTTACCGATGATAATTGTTACACAAACCATGCGTAGTCATATTAGAGTTTAACTTCCACACAATTTTCATGAATACAAGTGTTTTTAGGCTTCAGGGGTATTTTTGTAATTTAGTGGAAAAAAACGAGAGCATAATAATATAAAAATACAAAAGTGCACGATTTTGAAGAGACATATGATATTTCGATGGTGACATGTGACACGTTGAAACGTTTTCTTTACTATTAACTAAGTAAACTCGGATCATACTAGGCTACACCTCTATCACTAGCCATTGAACTCGGGTCATATTAACTTAGTTCGAGAGACGGGCTACCAACCTAATATATTTGAGTAGGAAAAAGGTGTTAATTTATATGTGTTGCTTACATCTATATTTAAACATTTGTCAACAAAGATCATATTATAAAATTATATAATAAGATGCCGTGATACATCATTGAAATAATGATGACTTCACCAACCCATTCCAAATTATTTCAAAAAATTAATTAATGATGCCATGTAATCAATTGCCCTCTTAAATTAAATTAAAAATAAGAAGCATTGATGTTGACAAAGAATTTAATAATTCATATAAATATTTTTAATTTATTAAAGGTAATTAACTTATTGGCTAATTAATTGACATTAATTTTGATGTGGGTTTTTAATATTTATTTTTCTTTGGTTGGGATTATTCCCAATATCATAGGACATGGCTAAGTTTAGGCATAACTCTGATATCATGTTAGATGAACACAACTCTTATAATCTCTAGTGACTTTGCTTTGGGCTTCTCCATAAGATCTCATACAAAGGAGAGAGTATGCTGTGATTATAAATCGAGATCATTCCCTAAATTAGCTGGCGTGGGACTTTCTTCGACATAGCATAGGATGATTTTGATTAGTTACTATCACAATTGTTAATGTAACCATCCAAGCCTACCCACCAATAGAGATGTTGTCCTCTTTGAACTTTCGATTTCGGACTTCTCGTTGAAGTTTTTAACTATAGTCGGGGAAAACGTTAAAGAATGGTGGTTTCTCTCTCTGGCGTGTAAGAAATAAGAACCTACACTAAAGCCTCCACAAGAGGAATCAAATTCGTTGCACCAAGACCCATCGATAATTCTCCACTGCAACAAAGGGAAATAAAAGCAATAAGAGGTTGGAATTCAGAGCGAAAATCTTCCATTGTTGAGCTCCGAAAGTGGAAAAAAGAAAAAAAAAAGTTGCTTAAACCCCATTGTTCTTCAAACCAAACGATTCGAAGAGACAAGGAATCTCCTCTCGCCCCTTTCAATGGTGGGATTTCTCTACTTCACTATAAAGTTTCTTTACCTTTTTCTTCCACTTTCCTCTGCAAATTCATCTCTGTTTCTTCAGTTCTAGATTTTTTTTTTTGCCTCATTTGAACTTGTTTCGCATCTTGGATCAATTTCACTCCATAAATTTCACTACCCATTTCAGATTTTAGGTTAGAGGTAGTAATGGTTCATTTATTGCTCACTTTTTGTGTGTCAGGTTTAGCTGATGGGGTGTTTCCTAATTTAGCTCAAAATCATTTATCATGTCCGGAAGTTTGTTCTGGGTGTTTTTTTAGTTGTTTTTGGACTAGATCTTTGTTGCCCATAAAACTGTAATGAAGGTTTGTTGTTGATTGAATCTGTTGGCTTATTTTGGTTTGTTGTGTTGTAGCTTTGAAGCACCCTGGTTTTCTTTTTGGGTTAAGTTTTTAGAAGATTTGATAATGGTTTCGAGGTCTTATTCTAACTTGTTAGAGCTTGCTTCTGGTGGTTGTTCTCCAACTTTTGGCCTTGGCCGAGAGAAAAAGAGGCTTCCTAGAGTGGCCACTGTGGCTGGAGTCTTGTCTGAGCTTGATGATGATAGCTGCAACAGTATTGGTTCGGATGCCCCTTCATCGGTCGTGCAAGACCGGATGATTATTGTTGGGAATCAGCTCCCGCTTCGGGCACATCGAGATGAAAATGGAGATTGGGAGTTTAGTATGGATGAGGATTCACTTCTTTTACAGCTTAAAGATGGGCTTGGAGAAGATGTGGAGGTGATTTATATTGGTTGTTTAAGAGAGGAGGTCGATCCAAGGGAGCAAGATGAGGTTGCACAAACTCTTTTGGACCGATTCAAATGTGTCCCAACATTCCTCCCTCCCGAGCTTTTTAGTAAATTTTACCATGGATTCTGTAAGCAACATTTATGGCCATTGTTTCACTATATGCTTCCTCTTTCGCCTGATCTTGGTGGTCGATTTGATAGGTCGCTTTGGCAAGCTTATCTTTCGGTTAATAAGATATTTGCAGATAAAGTTATGGAAGTGATTAGCCCTGATGATGACTTTGTTTGGGTTCATGATTATCATTTGATGGTTTTGCCAACATTTTTGAGGAAAAGGTTTAACAGGGTGAAGCTTGGATTCTTCCTACACAGTCCGTTTCCTTCGTCTGAGATTTATCGAACGCTTCCCGTTAGAGATGAACTTCTTCGGGCACTATTGAACTCTGATCTTATTGGCTTCCATACATTTGATTATGCTAGGCACTTTTTATCTTGCTGCAGTAGAATGCTTGGTCTGTCTTACCAATCTAAGCGAGGTTACATCGGGCTTGAATACTACGGTCGTACTGTGAGTATTAAGATTCTTCCTGTCGGTATTCATATCGGTCAGCTCCAAAATGTATTAAATCTCCCCGAGACTGTTTCGAAAGTTGCAGAATTGCAAAATCGGTTCAAAGGTCAAACGGTTTTGCTTGGGGTTGATGATATGGACATATTTAAAGGGATCAGCCTGAAACTTTTGGCATTTGAACAATTGCTCCGACAACATCCCGAGAGATGGGGTAAAGCTGTGTTAGTACAGATAGCGAACCCTGCACGAGGTAGAGGGAAAGATGTACAGGAAGTTGTGGCTGAAACTACTGCGGCCGTGAATAGGATTAATGCAACATTCAGGAGGCCGGGATATGAGCCTGTGGTTTTGATTAACACTCCCTTGCAGTTTTTCGAGCGAATCGCATACTATTCGATTGCTGAGTGCTGCCTGGTCACTGCAGTGAGAGATGGGATGAATCTCATACCTTACGAGTATATTATATGTCGACAAGGCAATGAGAAGCTCGACAATGTTCTTGAGCTAAATCCTTCGACTGCAAAGAAGAGCATGATAGTGCTGTCTGAGTTTATTGGGTGTTCCCCGTCCCTCAGCGGAGCTATTCGGGTTAACCCATGGAATATTGAAGCTGTCACCGAAGCAATGGATTCTGCCTTGGTAATCCCTGAGGCGGAAAAGCAATTGCGACATGAAAAACATTATAGGTACGTTAGTACACACGATGTTGCGTACTGGGCGCGCAGCTTTTTGCTGGATCTGGGCAGGGCATGCCGAGACCATTCAATGAGGAGATGCTGGGGTATAGGTTTTGGGTTAGGATTTCGAGTGATCGCCCTGGATCCAAATTTCAGGAAGCTTTCAGTTGATCATATTGTTTCGGTTTATAAGAGAACCTGCCACCGGGCGATCTTGTTAGATTATGATGGTATCATGATGCTTCCTGGCTCGATTAGCATGAATCCAACTGCTGAAGCCCTTGGGATCTTGAATAACTTGTGTAAAGATCCTAAGAACGTCGTGTTCCTTGTTAGCGGAAAGGACCGAAAAACTCTGACGGAATGGTTTTCACCGTGCGAAAAGCTTGGACTAGCTGCAGAACATGGTTTCTACCTTAGGTATTATATTCTACATTGCTCAATCCTTATTTCTTCCAATTTGTTATACGAATCTCTACAATGATATGATATTGTTCACTTTGAGCATAATCTCTCATGAATTTGCTTTTGGTTTCCCGTAAAGCTCTCATACCAATGGAGATGTATTCCGTACTTATAAACCCACGATTACCCCTTAATTAGTCGATGTGGGATTCTCAACAACAATCCTCAACAATCCTCCCCTCGAACAAAGTATACCAAGGAGCCTTCCCTGAGGCCTATGGAACCCTCGAACAACCTCCCCTTAATCAAGGCTTAACTCCTTTGGAGCCCTCGAACAAAGTACACCTTCGAACAAAATATACCCTTTGTTCACACTTGAGTCACTTTTGACTACACCTTCAAGGTTCACAATTCTTTGTTTGACATTTGAGGATTCTATTGTCATGGCTAAGTTAAGGGCATGACTCTGATATCATGTTAGGAATCGCGAATCTCCACAATGGTATGATATGGTCCACTTTGAGCATAAGTTCTCATGGCTTTGCTTTTGGTTTCTCGAAAAGATCTCATACCAATGGAGATGTATTCTTTACTTATAAACCTATGACTAACCTCTTAATTAGCCGTTGTGGGACTCTCCACCAACGATCCTCAACCGTAGATATATCGGATAATTGCAGTTAGTTTTCATTGAATTAGAGATAGACGTGTCGGTTCATCGATGTTTCCTTTCTGCAATTTCTATAAAACTATCATTCTGCAATCTTATCAGCCTTTGTGATTTTGATGACATTTGTTTCAGGCCAAATCATGCTGCAGATTGGGAGACATCTGTAAGTGTGACAGATTTCGACTGGAAACAGATTGCCGAACCCGTTATGCAATTGTATACCGAGACAACCGATGGTTCTACAATCGAAACTAAAGAGAGTGTTCTTGTTTGGAACTACCTTTACGCGGATCCTGATTTCGGATCGTGCCAGGCTAAGGAACTTTTAGATCACCTTGAAAGTGTTCTTGCTAATGAGCCAGTTTCTGTCAAGAGTGGCCAACACATTGTAGAAGTCAAACCTCAGGTTAGTCTTTTTATCTTCAAGAATCAAACTTTTTCTGTCAAACTGGAGTGACACATACGATTACTGATGACCCGTGAAAGAGGTTAACTGTGAGATCTCACATCAGTTGGGAAGGAGAACGAAGCCTCCTTTGTAAGGGTGTGGAAACCGCTCTCTAGCAGACGCATTTTAAAAACCTTGAAGGGAAGTCATAGAGGACAATATCTGCTAGCGGTGGGCTTGGGCTGTTACAAATGGTATCAGAGCTAGACACCGGACGATGTGCTAGCGAGAAGGCTGAGCCCTCAAGGGATTGGACACAAGGTGGTGTGTCAACAAGGACGTTGAGCCTCGAAGGGGGGTGGATTGTGAGATCCCACATTGGTTTGGGAGGAGAACGAAGTATCCTTTGTAAGGGTATGGAAACCTTTTTCTAGCAAACGCGTTTTAAAAACCGTGAGGGAAAGCCCGAAAGAGAAAATCCAAAAAGGACAATATCTGCTAGCAGTGAGCTTGGGTTGTTACATTAACAATCTTAATCTTGTAATTCGCTTTACGTGTTAGGTTTCATGACAGGACTCGGATTTTCTTGTTAATTAATAACTACTAGGATTGAAAACTCGAGTCAAATGCAAATGGTCTTTGAAACCGATCAAAAAGGTCGAATTATTAGAATATGATGAGCTATGAGAAGGGCTTCTTCCAAGGCTTGATGTTTTGTTTCTTCTGGCTTTTGTAACAAAATGGCAGGGTGTAAACAAGGGTATTGTAGCAGAATATCTCTTGCAAACAATGAGGGAGAAGGGAATGCTTCCTGATTTCGTTCTATGCATTGGAGACGATAGGTCGGACGAGGATATGTTCGAGGTGATAACGAGTGCAAAACCCACCCTTCCTCCCAATGCTGAAGTGTTCGGTTGCACGGTCGGACAGAAACCAAGCAAAGCTAAGTATTACTTGGAAGACACACACGAAATCTTGAGAATGTTACAAGGTCTCACCCATGCGTTCGAGCATGCCGCTCGAGCCACCGCACAGACGACGCCTCATAGAGTGGTAATTGCAGAGAATAAGTAATAGAAATCCCCTTCCTATTGTTGTCTATATGGAGTTAGCTCTGTGCAAAAGTCTCTATTATTGTTGTTTGAGGGTTGCATTTTATCTGTTTGTCTTCGTACCAGTTTTTCTCGGACTCCGCTCCTTGCATGATGTTCATAGTTCGTTCGACAATTTTGAAGTGGCTATTGAATCATGAGTTGTCTTATCTACTAAGTTATACTCGGATTGACTTTATAGTTTCATTTTTACTGATTCTCGAGATGTTTTGTCCATACAAAAACCAACTTGAGTTGTCTCTCGAGCTCTTACACTTTGGAGTGACTTACTATCGAGATTGTAAGAGCTTAGTGTGAGATCCCACTCGATTGGAGAGGAGAATGAGTGTCTGCGAGTACGTTGACTGGAAAGGTGGTAGATTGTGAGATCCCACATTAGTTGAAGAGGGGAGCGAAACATTTTTTATAAAGACGTGGAAACTTCTCTCTACCAGTCTAGTTGTCTAGTTGAGAGAATGTCATGATTAATTAAATTAAAATAAAAATATATTTTTATGAAGTAAAATTAAAAATTAAATTATTAGTTCGTTAAAAGTTGGGATAGAAAATATTTGAAAGTAATTACTAAAATTTTAAATTTAGATTTTCATTTGAATATAGCATAGATTATTCTGTACGGCGACCCCGAGAGCTGCGGCGGCGCATATCTGAATTTTGTCCAATCCTCCATTCCGGCCGGCGGCTGCACAGAACTTTGCTCCAAAACTAACACCGTTTCTGTGGTATTCTGTCAACGATTCTTCTTCTTCTTCCTCTTCGTTTACTTTTTTTTGTCACTGATTTCGATTCGTATCCCTCGCGAAGAGGAAGCTTGTCAGTGCTGATTTCTTTTGGTTTCGATGTACTTCCTGTTCTGAGATTTTTAATTTCAACCGATGACTACAAGAATCTGAGATTTTTTTTTGCTGATGATCTTCTTCCACAGATTCGTAATGGAATTCTAATTTCGGTTGGCACTTGAAAACTCTAGATCCCAATATCGACTCCGTAAGCATTTATTTCGATTATAGCATAGGAGAAATTCGAGGCAGGGCGACCTCTTTTGATCTCTATTCTGTTTGTTGTATGATCATTATTTTTTTGCAGGATTCAAGTATTGCTAATTGGCATCGTAATTCTCAGTATCAGCTTGATTTTGAGTCGTGTCCTTTATGTTTTATATTGGAGTGGTAGACCCCTTCCAAACAAAAGCTTGGGATCTGTCAGTTACCCTCATTGTCTTAGGCTCAGGTGAGACAGTCATCAATTCCATTTGAGTTTTAGATTGAAGAATGTAATTGCACTGATCGTTGGATATGTAGGGGGTCACACGGTCGAAATGCTCAATGTGTTGTCTGTGCTGCAGAAAGACTTGCTTTCTCCAAGATTCTACATTGCTGCTGCTACCGATGACATGAGTCTTCGAAAAGCTCGCACATATGAACATCAACTGACTCATAAGGTACATTATCAGGGTCTTCAAACTTCTCTTATTTTTCTGAAGCAGGAAACGAGGAAGGGGATAGTATGGCCTATGGGTAGAGTTCCCCTATTTTCAATTAGGGGAAAATCGTAAGTTTCTTGCAGATTCAGTCCACAAACTTGAATGGATTCAATTGGGATTTTGTTGCATGAGTTTGAATTGGACCTGTAGGAACTTTTAGAAGATTAGTAATGGATTCTATAGGAACTTTGTGAATTTGTAGTAGGGGTCGCATCCAAGCTTGAGCTTAGTAGTTTTCTTCAGATAGTAACCTATCTCCACTTTTTATCAGTTTCCAGGAAACAACCCCTAGAACTTGGATCGATGAAATCTTGATTTAATGTCCTCACTGGAACAACATTTTTTGTCACATCTTTCTGAATTTCATTTTGCATGATTAAGATGACTTGGATCATATCAATATCCAACATATTATTTGAATTGAAATCTAGCTTAACTTGTGGCTATGGCAGCAAGAACGGCGATAAACATAATATTGTTGATAGTGACAATAGTACAGTTGACTCTTGAGTTTTTGTGCATAGGAGAACGTTGTGCATGAAAACCAATGATTTAAAAGAAAACACAACAGTTTTTTTTAATAGGAAGGGAAACAACCCCCTTATAAGCTCAAGTTTTTTTTAATAATCATCAAGATAGAAATGTCTATTTTTTTCGTAATTTCATTTTATCAATGAAATGAATGATTTCCTTCCCTATTAAAAAAAACTGTTGTGTTTCCTTTTAATTTATTGGTTTTCCGGCATAATGTTACTCCTATGCACGATAACTCAAGAGTCAACTGTGTTGATGTCGCTATCAACAATATTATGTTTATCGCCGTTCTCGCTGTCATAACCACAAGTTAAGCTAGATTCCAGTTCAAATAATATATTGAATACATCTCAATCATGCAAAATGAACTTTAAGGAAGATGTGACAAAAATGTTGTTCAAATTGCCCTAAGATAAACTCAAGTTGCAATTCATGCCACATTAAGGAAGAATCAAGGTTCATTTATTCTTGGATTGTTACAAATTTTGGGTGGATCACAATCTAGAGTTGTGGTGTTTCATTAATTTACTTTAAGATTTTTTATTATTTGTTATATTTACAATAGTGACGGATTATAGTCATAAAGTATGAAAGTTACCACCCTTGAAATGTTTCATGAAAGGTTAAGGGTTTTCTTTTGAGACTATATAAGGCCATGTATGTTGTCTTTGTAAAGTAGACTTGAAAATATAGTAAAGAGAACATTTGTGCTTACTTTGGTTAAGGATTAAGTTTCTTTGCAATTTTACATAGTTTAGATTGTATGGTTAGAATCATTCAAGCTTGACTTGATTGATCTTACTTATGGAGTGATTCGAATCTCAAAGAAGTTTTCTTATCTTGATCTTACTTTCTCTCAAGGTAATTTCTTATTATTTTGAAGTTCTTGAATATTTAGATCTATCTTATTCTTCAATAAGGTGGTTAGATGAAAATCTCAAGAGATACAATCACTTAGAATGAAATCAACTTGATTTGGGGTTTTAGCCTTTGTAAACTAGTGGTTTGCATATCCTATGATGGTTCTTACATTGAACTAACCGTGTTTCCATATCAGATATTCTGTTTCATTCAAATAAATTAGAAGAGTTGCTCACTCCCACTTTGATTACAAGTTTTCCTATTAAATTTGTTTGTGAATGGGTGCTTGTTGCAGGCTGGGGCTGAGGTAGACAAGATCGCACAGTTCCTAGGGAAGTAGGACAATCATATTTCACTTCTGTTTGGATAACTTCAATTGCCACACTCAACGCACTCTGGCTAATGCTTAAAATGAGACCTCAAGTGGTAATATGACCTCTTTTTCCCCCTTCTTTTTCTGAACCAATTGTTTCGCTGCAGATTCTCTGCAATGGCCCTGGTACCTGTATCCCCATTATGCGCAATTGCATTCATATTCAAGGTTCAAAAAAGTGCATTGAACAACATTCTTTTGCATTTTCCAGTTCCAAGTTTATAATATCGCAGAGAATAAATGAACACTAGAATCTGAATGCAGGTTGTGGGGATTAGATGGTCATCAATTTTTTATGTGGAAAGCATTGCAAGAGTGAAGAGATTATCATTGAGTGGGTACATTTTATACAAGTTACACATGGCTGATCAGTTCTTTGTGCAATGGCCACAAATGCACACAAAATATCATGTAGTTGATGATCAAAAACCATACAGGTAAGCATAATTTATGGTTCCTGCAGCTTAAATTTGGTCTGAATTTGTCATGCAGATTTGAAAAGTAACTTGAAGGGGAAAAAAATCGAAGTTTCTGTCACCATAACAGCAGTTTGCCCTGTTTTAGATAGATTTTTCAACATGCATACCAAATCTCTCTTCATGGAGTGTTGTATTTATGAACTTTGCTGGTAGATTGCATCTCGGGTTTATTGATAACTTGAAAGACACCAGACAGATAGTTCAACTGATTCAAATATATATTATTGACTTAAAAGTTAAAGGTTTAAATCTCCATGTCCTAGTGTTATTGAACTTGAAAAGCTTATAAATATTTCATTGGTCGGGGAATCGTTCTGTTGATACTGTAGATTTTTTTTTTTTGAAAAATATTAAAATATATAAATTATTTAAATCAATAAAAATGATAATAGGTTCTAATAAATTTTTTTGGTGTGTTCCTGGAGTGTTGCTTTTATTAATAAATTATTCATTATTTAAGAGTCTTTTAAATAATGAATAATTTTTTATAATATAGTTTTAAACAAAAAAATAAACTACAACAACAATAACACACACCAAAAAAATCAAAATAAATAAAATGCCCATTCAACCTTTCTTTAGTACATTTGTCCAAAACGTTTCAATGAGGCTAAAGAATCAAACGTTCAAACTATTTTTACAAATATCCCTCATTCAAAAGCTAGATGATGTTGCAAAATGTACATCATATGAACACGGGTTGAGGTATAACCCGTGCTCGTGCTCGTGCATCGTGATAAAAAGAATACAACCAAAGTTTCCATTTTAAATATCAGATTGTCAAAAATCCACCATCGAAGAAAAAATGGCAGCAACCAAAACCGAACGTCCACAAAAGCACAATACTAATGATTTAGATTCATTCTGTCTATCTCAGCTCATTTCCCAGCATAATCATAGAACACAGGAAAAAAGAAAATAGTTCTAACCAGAAACCATGATATTTCTGAATTTCCCAAGAAATCAGGCTCAGGACCTATTTTCCTATGACACCAAAGCATTCAAATTACAGCACTAAACCACCAAACACAAAGAAAATGATACTAGAAATTTTCTGGGGAAAAAATCATGAATTGAATTCACTAAAAGATTCAAAATCTATGAGCTAGAACCATCCTAAAAATGAGGGAAAGATTAAACCTCAAGATACAATTTGACATCCATAAGACCTCACTAAGGTGTTTGAAGAACTATCTCCAGTGGTAACGTTAGAGGATGGAATATACATGATAACACTGGACACACTTAAATTTCGTCAAGAGGTTAAGAACTAAATGAAGGAAAGTCAATTTTACCTTTTTCATTTCTGTACCAATGGCTATCTAAAGAAATGTGAAGAACTCACTTCAAGTCCAGAAAGAACGACCCAAATGAATTGAGCAAATTCAAGCAACTCTAGATCATAAAGGCTTGAGAATGAAGGGCTTCCAAAATAATGGTCAATCTCGAACAGGGGTTTCTTCTTTCATTTCCTTGTTAACTGATTGACCTCCATCATCCTCATCAATGGCGATCTTTCTAGTTTCTTGGTCGGCAGTCTGCACCGGCAGTTGCCGATCAGAGCCAATCTTGTCCTCACCTTCCTGGGTGTCTGGATTCTTCTTCATTGGATCTTTGTTCTGCGCTAAATCACAGAAAAAATCCGTCAAAACCTTCTCATAACCCGGCATTTTTGCATACCCAGGGAAATAGTTAATGTCAATTATAAGATACCGAGTCCCAATTTTTGAGTCTCGAATCACGTCAAAGTTAAAAAGATTCAAGTTCAGGGAGCGCCGCAACCCTCTAGCAATGTCAGTGACGAAGCTCAACGGTGGCATCTCTGTATCGTCAAGCTGCATCATCTTGTAGAACTTATCGTTAATTTTCTCACGAGGGGTCAAATTCGAGACCTGCGAAAATGACAACAATCCTTCTACATTTCCCAATTTCGCTTCCGGTTCATCAGGCAGAGATTTCCTCTTCACACATTTCACATATTGCCCAACAACGTAAACCTTAAAGATAATCCCTCCATGATTTACGAACTCCTGCAAGACTATCGGAGGCTTAAGCTTGTTCAAACAATCATGGTTGAAAACGAGCGCCATTTTGTGAGATTTAGCACTGCCATCAGCCACCAACGGCTTGGCAATGACTGGGAACTTCAAACCCTCCCAAGCCTGCCGATCAAACAAAGTTTCCTTATCGTAAATCACAATCTGCTTGGGGATCCCAAACGATTCATTGGCGTTATCAATCTTCAACTCGGAAACCACTTGAAGCATCGAAATCCGGTTATGAAGTCTCCCAATCGAGTCCGGTGAGTCCAAAATCAAGGCATTAGGGTTCTTTACTCTAAACTCAACCAGCTGCTTCCTCCAACTCTCACCGTAATACTTGTGAAGAATGCAATCAAATGGCCCTTGATCAAGAAGTGGCCGGTCAGTGTCGATTCGAACAAGATCAATCCCTCGAGACGCCGCGAGGCTGACTAATGAGTCTTGGATGAAGCTCTGTTGCTTCTTGGGAGCCAAAGCATACCCTATACAGAACCTACGTTCCGCCATTGATACACTACAAAAATTACACTAAGAACTAGAACCAAAAAGCACGACACTCATCAAAACAAGAACAAAGAACTCGCAGAAAAAAGATTCACGTTTACCAGAACACCGAAATTTGAAACCCGAGGAAGCTCTCGGAACCTTAGAAAAACTAGGGTTTCGTTTCTTCTAGGGTTCTTGAAAGAAAACCAAAAATTGAAAAGCTTTGAAACAGAAGAATGAGTAATTTTAAAAATTAACCTCCAAATATTTTGATTTGAAACCAGTTTTTTTTTTTTTTTCATGTGAAAATACGACTTTACCCTTTCTTATTTAAATTTGGAGGTAGGTCCAAAATTGAATAGGCAAAATTCTTCTTCCCTCTCACCCATTTCTTGCTCGATCAACGTTATTCTCGTTCAATTTCTTGTTCGATCAACATCATTCTCGTTCGATTTCTTGCTCGATCGACTTTATTCTCATTCAATTTCTTTCTCAATCAACTTTATTCTCGTTCGATTCCTTGCTCTATTAACATTATTTTTGTTTGATTTCTTACTCGATTAGGGTTTTGTCTTTTTTCTCGATCTTGGTTGGGATTGGACTAGAAAAAAGACGTTTTTTCTTTTTAAGAATATGTTTTAATTTTTTTTTTTAATTTGCAGAGTTTAACATTATTTTTCATTCATAAATAAGGTAGGTATCACAATGTCGTTGATTACAAACATCTCTACCTATGATCACTTTCCTACGAAGAAATTGACTCGAACCCAATTAGTCAGGATTAGACAAACATGTTTTGGTCCTCTTCTAGAAACAAACATAATGTTCAATAGACCATTAACGCAATATATTCTTTATAGAGAAGTGAATGAGAGTACAATGCACGTGATTCGTTTAAACCTTTTGGGACAAAAGTGTCATTTAGTCCAAGCGAGTATAACCTCATTACTAGACTTGGACTTATATATGGAAGAAGCGATGTTTGTCGTGTTATACTTAGAGCTAAGTATTTGAATACTGACGAATATATGAAGGGATTTGAATTGGTTTGCAATGATCGACAAGAGAATACAACAAATGGATTATACCCTACTTAGTATCAGTGATGATTAGGTTAGATTTTATAATGAGGATTGAAATCTAAAAGCAGAGGCGTGCAAAGGAGAGTTCAAATGGAAAGCAACAAACGTACCATTTTTATGGTTACCCACATACTTTCTATGAGATCCTACGATTTACGAAACATTTTTATAAATGCGTGAAAACCTCTCCCTAGTATACTCGTTTTAAAACTGTGAAGCTGACGACAATACGCGTAACAAGCAAAAACGGACAATATCTATTAACATTAGGCTTGGGTTGTTACAATGACCAAAGCACGAGCTCGGAAAAAATACGTCCACAACATAGACATGAAGTGTCTAACTCTTCTTCTGCCCGCCCAAACATTAATATATACATATCTAAATGTAATTTATGTCGAGCTCATCTTCATTATTCATACAATTTTTTAGTGTTATTATTTTAATTTGATGTTTTCTTAACATACAATAATATAAAACCTGATTAATATTAACTTTTGCTTAATTCAAAAGTGAGTTGGTAAACCACATAAAAGAATACAAAGAAAGCTAAGAGTATTCAGATCATTCCACTCCATCAACTTCTTCCTTCCTGTGTTTCCTATCTATCGAAACCTTTTGACTCTTTTGTTTCTGTGAGAGCTCTCTGGCGTTCGGCTATCAGACTTGCGTTTAACCCCGCCTTGTTTCGGTGCTGCAACGCCATTTCTCGATGCATTTGCCACAGCCTTTCGGTTGGCAACTGCTGGTCTCTTCCCCTTCCTTTCACTCATCTTCTCCGGTCTTTTCCCCTTCCTTTCACTCGTACTCTCCGGGAAATCCTCCGGTCTTCTCCTCTTGTGATCTACTCGCTTCTCCTTACTGTTGGAATGTGATTTAGTCCATTTCGTGCCACTGCCTTTCGCTTGGTTCTTCTTCTGGGAGACGGGTTTGCTCGCACGCAGGCCCTGGTAGGATGCAACCGTAGCTTTTGCCCTCTTGCTGCTGTCTGGTGTCCTTAAACCTGAATCCACAGCCCTTTTCTTGGCTGAGGAGCGATCGACTTCAGTAGATGGGTTATTACGTTTCTTGAGCGGGGTCGATGTCAAGTTTGGTTTGGCATGAAAGAGCCTCAGTGCTCGATCACGCAACTGTAGTTTTTGATTGTTAATTACTGAATTTGCTGCTTCCTGCACAGACATAGAAGCAATGCATTGTTCTTAGATTGAAATTGAAAGATAAAGATGTAAACCAATGGGAAAACATGCAGTTGTCTTCAAGACTAGAGGTGACAAAAAACAATCAGGGAAGATGGAGAGAAAAATAAGTCAACAGATATCTAGCTTTTGCCTATGTATTTACTAACTGCTACCCGAGTGTTTCGGTAGCCAGGGTTCGAGATGATTAGAAATACCAACGAGGTTTTAATTTAACTAAATTTGAAGGTTAGAACTTAATAACTCAAAGCCATTGTTGAGTGAACTTGAAGTGTAGCAGCCCAAATCCACTGCTAACAAATATTGTCTGCTTTGGCCCGTTACACATCACTGTCAGCCTCACAGTTTTAAAACGCATTTGTTAGGAAAATGTTTCCACACCCTTATAAGGAATGCTTCGTTCTCCTCTCCAACTAGTGGAGGATCGCATCCTTAATACTAGTATTAGTTAGTCATGATTCATGAACATGATGCAAAGAGTTGGGGCGTAAAGTGGATGAAGCCTCCCCATAGCCAGTCGGAATCCACCATGAGCATGATGCAAGAGATGAGGCCTCAGGTACCCGGTTATAAAAAGCATAATAAAAATACCAGGTTCCTCAACCAAACGAACGGAATTTACAACCTCGTCTACTAGATCCAGACAGACAGGAAAGTGCGCACACACGATATCGATACACCTATACAGCATACTCGTGTGTGCGCAAACATGTAATTTAAACCATATATTAGTAAAAAGTGAAGAAAATGAGAGAAAACCAATGAGCTTACAGATCTCTCTCTAAATGAATGAACATTAATATCAAAAAAGCCGATCGTACCTTTGTTTTAAAGAAGACATACGCAAAACCCTTCCCTATGTTCACATTAGGATCTCTGATGACCCGAACAGCTTCAACACTAGATCCCACATTCTCGATTCCACAAAATAGTTGATACAATTCTTCATCCTGAAAATGTAGATGTATAAAACAACCATAAACCAACTTTACATAACTTAGCATCAAGGAAGGGAAGAGGGAAGAAAACTTGCGTAGAGAAAAGGTTACCTTTACATCAAATGGAAGGTTACCCACAAAAACAGTTCTCTTGGGATCATAGATTGGAGAACTTCCTACTTTCAACTTTTTACGAGGTGGGCATGCCCTATCAACACGTATATGATTTCCTGCAAACTAAATTCACATATATAAAGACATTACTCATCATGAATGGAAATAGCCAAAGCTATAAGTTTCGACTTAGAAAAGCTAAGAAGAAGAAGAAGAAGAAAGAGAGTAAGAACTATACCACAGCCATGTTATGGGACAGAGAAGCCTGTGCTGATTCCTCCGTTTTGAAAACAACATATGCATGAGAACTGCAAATCATTCATTTTCATCACTAAAAACGGTATATAATGTCTTAAAATAAGAATAAGCAACCATATCCTGTAATTCTCTCCTAAGGACCTTTCCTAAAATCATGATCTCTTAAAGTACTCTAGGAGTCAAAGTGGCATGCAAGCAAACTGTGCACGTTAAGAGTAAAGGGGAGAGATGTTCGAAATTACTATCACAATCAAGCCGCCCCCTACCCTATCTCTCGAACTCTAAAAGGGCCTATCACTTCGTTTGTACCTACTTGGCTTAGGCTTCCAACTGAAGTGACGACCATATAGTATAACCCCGATCAAGTAAGATCATCCTAAAACCACAATCCCTCTCTCTAATTTTAATTAGAAGTGAACGACGATTCAATATCGAAACAATTAAGCGACATTTATCAAATTCAATGATGTCACATTATGATATAAAATCATTACCTGTCCGCATCTTCATTGACTTTCTTTGAAAGAATTGCTCCCTTCCTAGGTTTTTTGCTCTGATCAGAGAAAAAGTAGAAAATTCTTAAGTTTGAAGATCAATAAATTGAGAAGAAAAAAAACCCCACGAACTAGAAATTCAAGATAATGAACAAATAGAAAACAATGCTTACATTTGCAAGTGGCACAGAACGGATCCTAACAGATTCTATTTCTCCAAATTGGCTAAACTCCTTGCCTAAAGCTTTTTTCTTCACTTTCAATGGCAAATTCCCAACAAAAACAGTTCTCAAAAGCTTGCTTTCATCATCAAATCCTTCCTTCGTTACCAACATCTCAGAAAAATCGTCCATCGCTTTCCTCTTCTTCCCAACAACAGTGCCCCCTGAACCTTCCACTTCATCTTCAGCTACTTCTGATGCACCATACTTCTTCGCTTCGTACTCTCTCTCCAGTTCGTCTCTCTTCCTCTTCTTCTTCTCTTTCGTCAACTTCACATCCACACCGAGTTTACTGTCACTCCTTTGTTCGTCTATCTTCAATTCGCCGCTAAATTCAGAACCGATTTCCGCACCGTTCCTTTTGTTCTTCTTCACTACGCCTCGGGATTGGAAACCTCTTTCTTCATCATCCTTCTCGATAACTTCATTATCCAATTCCCGGTCCCGAGACTTGTCCTTCCTCTTCGATTTCTTGACTTGCGACGAACTTTTAACACCATTCTCAGCAGAATCCAAATCCATCCCAACCCGTTTCTCCTTGCTCTTCTTCCTACTCTTTACATCATCGATAGTATGATCATCAGCGCCGCCACTGGGAGATTTTTCAGCAACTGCCGCCAAAGGAGTTGAACTCGTATCTTTCCTACGAAAAGGGTTCTCAGTGGAGAAGATAGAAACGCCATCACTTTCAGCACCAACGTTGCCGAACAGAGTCTCGAAAACGCTGGAGGGAGCAGAACCAATGGCGACTTCTTCGGAGGAACTTTTGGGGTCGTTGGTTTTCTTCTTCCCCATCACTCTTCTTCTGGGTTGGTTTTCTGCAGATTCTGTGAATTTACAGGTTGAAGTAATTGCGGCGAACAATGGAAATTGGAGAAGATGAATTTTGTAGCCCTAAGGCTTATTCCGTCTCGGATTGGGAATGATATATATATATTTTTTTTCCTCTATTATATAAAATAAAATAACTTCGTTTATTATTTGGGTGATTTTTTTAATAAAAATAATTTATTCATTTAATCTCTCCCTTAATTTAATTTAAGTTATCATTTATTTAATAAAAACATAACATAGTGAAGGGAGGAGAAGAAGAGTGGAGCTATTTTTCTACACTACCTCCTTAAGTGTTGAGATATTGAAGAATATATTTAGTTATGGAATATATCTTCGATATTATATCTTTTATTTATGATTTGATTTACAGTATATTTTATTTTATTCTCAGTATTTAATTATTTTATATTTTCCTCCTTTGTACTTCTTGTATCCCCTTTGTACTTCTTGTATCCCCTTTAAAGGATATCAATATCAATATCAATTATAATAATACACTTTTCCAGTTCTATTTTCTATTTCTATTTCTTAACATGGTATCAGAGCACCGATCTTGATATTCCTAATATCAGAGCACCAATTGTGGTATTCCTAATACTCCCTTGGACTCTGAGTCCAAGGGGAGTATTAAACCTAAAGCCAAACTCTAACCAATCAGTGAAGCCTTTACAGCCGCCGATCATCCAATATCAAGAATACGTTATAAGCATCTTCAAATTTCTCACCAAGCTCAAAGGTGACATATTCAAGATGTTCGTATTTTCTTTCACAACCTCTCAAGTGATCCAGAGCACCGATCTTGGTGTTATTATCCAGTAAATCATTTATGCATGGACCAATAAGTGATCAGGGAGGATATTCACTTGTTCCAAATCAAATTAAATGGGACAAGTTACTAATCCTCGAGTCAATCATTGTGGTATATTTTTTAGTTTTGCATCTTTCTTGGAAATTCAATAATTTCTTGAAAGTCTAAAAATGTAAACCAATCAAACGCGGTCTATTTTTTGGTTTTGCATCTTTCTTGTAAATTCAATGATTTCTTGAAAGTCTAAAAAATGTAAACCAATTAAAGGCGGTCTATTTTTTACGGATATTTTCACCATTGTGAAGACAAAAGTGTTATTGACCTACACTCTCTTCTCAAAGACAACTCGGGTGTTATTGACCTACATTCGTAAAGACAAGTTGGATGTGATTACATACACTCTCCAACTTGAGGGGGAGTGTTGAGATATTGAAGAATATATTTAGTTATGGAATATATCTTCGATATTATATCTTTTATTTATGATTTGATTTACAGTATATTTTATTTTATTCTCAGTATTTAATTATTTTATATTTTCCTCCTTTGTACTTCTTGTATCCCCTTTGTACTTCTTGTATCCCCTTTAAAGGATATCAATATCAATATCAATTATAATAATACACTTTTCCAGTTCTATTTTCTATTTCTATTTCTTAACATGGTATCAGAGCACCGATCTTGATATTCCTAATATCAGAGCACCAATTGTGGTATTCCTAATACACATGGTATCAGAGCACCGATCTTGATATTCCTAATATCAGAGCACCAATTGTGGTATTCCTAATACTCCCTTGGACTCTGAGTCCAAGGGGAGTATTAAACCTAAAGCCAAACTCTAACCAATCAGTGAAGCCTTTACAGCCGCCGATCATCCAATATCAAGAATACGTTATAAGCATCTTCAAATTTCTCACCAAGCTCAAAGGTGACATATTCAAGATGTTCGTATTTTCTTTCACAACCTCTCAAGTGATCCAGAGCACCGATCTTGGTGTTATTATCCAGTAAATCATTTATGCATGGACCAATAAGTGATCAGGGAGGATATTCACTTGTTCCAAATCAAATTAAATGGGACAAGTTACTAATCCTCGAGTCAATCATTGTGGTATATTTTTTAGTTTTGCATCTTTCTTGGAAATTCAATAATTTCTTGAAAGTCTAAAAATGTAAACCAATCAAACGCGGTCTATTTTTTGGTTTTGCATCTTTCTTGTAAATTCAATGATTTCTTGAAAGTCTAAAAAATGTAAACCAATTAAAGGCGGTCTATTTTTTACGGATATTTTCACCATTGTGAAGACAAAAGTGTTATTGACCTACACTCTCTTCTCAAAGACAACTCGGGTGTTATTGACCTACATTCGTAAAGACAAGTTGGATGTGATTACATACACTCTCCAACTTGAGGGGGAGTGTTGAGATATTGAAGAATATATTTAGTTATGGAATATATCTTCGATATTATATCTTTTATTTATGATTTGATTTACAGTATATTTTATTTTATTCTCAGTATTTAATTATTTTATATTTTCCTCCTTTGTACTTCTTGTATCCTATTTAAAAGATATCAATATCAATTATAATAATACACTTTTCCAGTTCTATTTTCTATTTCTATTTCTTAACATTAAGGTATCACTGTATCCGGTGCTTTTATGCATACTGATGCCGTTTATTGTATCTTTGATTTGGTCGCCCTTAATAATTGCATCATGTCTAGACTATGAAGGCTCTTACAGTATCGCCACTGCATCCGGTGCTTTTATGCATACCGGTGTCATTTATTGTATTTTCGATTGGGTCGCCCTTAATAATTGCATTATGTCTGAATTATTTCTGGACTGTGAGGGCTGAGACCTCCCTTACAATATCATCATTGCTGGTGCTTTTATGCATGCTAATGTCATTTATTGTATCTTCGATTTGTTCGCTATTAATAATTGCATCAGGCTGGACTCTGAGGGCTCTCAGCCACATAGATAGTTTAATGTAGTCACTAGTGATTCTTTGAGTCAGTCTCGGTTTATTTTTGAAGTTTTAATTACATGGCTCTCAGCCACATAGATAGTTTAATGTACTGTGATTCTCTGAATCGGTCACAATTTATTTTTGAAGTTTTAAAAATGTTATTAAAGGTATTTTTAAAATAGGAGATATTAAAATGGAGTATTTATTATTATTTGTTAGCTAGAGGATATAATTGGGAAAAGGGGTTTTAATGGAGGGGTAGAATTGGGAGAATAATTTTGCCGTGTAATTAACCTAAACAGGGAAGAAGATACGTAATTAGATTCATTTCTTCTCTCTACCATTCCCGCGAGTTTCAGCTATGGATTCTTCTCTGCGCAATTCTCTCAATCCCAATAAACTTCTCAAAGAAGAGTGAGTAATCCCATTTTCCTTCAGGTTTCTGAGCTTCAATTTTGTCTCTCCATGTTTCTTGTTCATTTCTTTCGATCTTCAGATTCGTTAGCAATTTGACTGGATCTTCTATGATCGAAATCGCGGCGCTTTCCACTATTATACCTGTAATTCCCTTTGATTTTCCTTTAGTCTCATTTTTTCTGTGTTGCACTACTTCTCTAGCTTACTGGAAAATTTTTTGGCTACTTATCTCTCTGAGTGTGCAGATTCTGGTGATTCTTCGGCATTCATGCTATTGCAGCGGCGTGATTGGTGTGTCTCTTAAAGCTTTTCGGAGTTAATTGTTTTTTATGGTTGTTTTTCTTCCAATTTATGTGGGTTTTGAAGTAGCATTTGGCGGGTTGAACTTCTTAATTCTGGATTCCTCAGCTCATTCGGACTCGTGCTTTTGCTCTTGTATCAAACTCGGAACTCCGTCTCAAATTTTAGCTTTCATTTTCTTTCTTAAAGAATAGGCTTTAACAATTACGATGCAAGACGGTTGAATTGACTCCCTCCGCCCCTTTTTCTTTCCTGGGTGGATGAGATAACAGAGACACAGGGTCGAGTTGTGATGCAACTAAAGTTTCGAAATGGCTACCCAAATTTGAAGTTCTCTTTGAGCATTCCTCGGAATTACATTGGTACCTTGATATAGGTTGATCAAAAAAAGTAGTAGCTATTTAGCCACTTACTAGGTTATGACCTCCTCTACAATGCCAAAACTTTAGTTTTACAACGGTATTATGCATGAAAATATTATTATTGTCTTCCTACTACAATTTGATGATGAATGGATTGTGTTCAAAATGTTGGGATTGGTCTGACTGCATCATCTGATACAGTTGCTTATTTGTTTGCAAAGGCTCAATTAGGTCAAGCTTCTAGATATGGAATACTATGAATGTATGGAACTGTTATTTCCTTTCTTCATCATGTGGTTAATCTTAGATCTCTTTGTTACCAAATCATACTGCTGCAGATGCTTCACTGAAGAAAAGTGACAATCCAGTTATCCACTCAAAGAGCTTGAAGCAATACTTGGCTGCCATTACTGTAGATTTTCTTGTTATCGTGATTCCCACTATCTTATTTTTCACTGTAAGTAATATATGGGAGATTAAACGTGTATCAAGAGTATTTGTTTATTTGTAGTTCTTCACATAAATGCTATATGATTCATCACTATGATCTCTATTTCTTCTTTTCTGCTTTAGGCTGAGGATTTCTTTATGCAGATGTACTCGGCACATTTTTATTTCTTGACTCTGAATGTGGTGCTTATAGACTCAAATGGGGTCTGAGGGATATATGTTTACAAGAAAGAGATGTTTTATTTCACTTTTATGTTTTACTTTCATAATCCTCTTCATTTTCATGATAAATGCCTCATTTAATTGTTATGATTGGAAATCCCTCATCTTGATAAGTTTTGTCTATTTTCATTTGAGACCAACTTAATTTGCTCATTTGGTATCCTGGACTAATTCTTGGGTGGTTTTGTTTCCTAATTATTCATATGACAGGTTCTAGCAGAATGGTCATGTCTGTGTGCGGTTTTATTCATTTTTCTATTATTGTTGTTGATTGCAGCTAAAGGGTAAGGCATTTTCTTTTCATATTAAATATTGTACTTTTTATTGGGGAATTATCCTTATTGTTCATTCGTAGTATATAAAATGTTGCATGAGCTGCTGCTGGGCAAACAAGTCTCTTCTGCATCACGCTGACAAAAAGCCATTGTACTCCCAACACAGAATCCACAGTCATTCTCCAACTTGGGAAACAGCAAACCAAAGTCTAAAGGAAAATATTTCATCTTTTAGGGTTGTTGTGGTATGCTTTTTAAATCATTGTTTATCTATTACATGTTTCGTGCAAATGTAGTCTATATTCTCATATCATCTAGAATTTTTTTTTAAAAAAAATGTCAATGCAGATGATCACAACATGCTTGTGCATATTGGCTGTTGATTTCAGAATATTTCCCAGAAGATATGCTAAGACAGAGACTTACGGTACAAGTCTGGTAAGTTTTTTCCAGTTATCAACAACCTTTATATTATTATTATTATTATTAAAGTTCATCTTTATTCTAACTTTTTGTGTATAAAATCTTATCATATTTATTTTTCAGGCTTGGCAGACAACCTCGTTGACACTTTTGTTTTAAAAATTATTTATTGGCATTTCCCCCACCCCATCCAAAGTATAGGCTTACTTTCATTCAATTAGTCCTCTGTTTCTATGTTTTTTTTATTGTGCATTTTAAAATATATGGAGTTCTATTTTTGACAATTTGGAGAACTTGATGGGAGGCTCTTTGTGGTAGGGGATGGGAGGGTGATAGCTTGCATTTTGGTTAACACAGGGTTTTAATTTCTGTGGTGGGGTACCGGAATTGGAAATTAGGCCTGAAAAAGGAAGCTCTTTTCGATAAGTGGTTGTGGTATTTTCCTTTGAAACCAAGTTCTCAGTGGTAACAATCGTCTCTTTAGCCACTTCTTTATCCTTACTCTGGATTCCCCTCTTCTGATTTGTACCTTAGAGGAGTCCTCATGGTTGACATTGTTCCCTTGTTTTAATTGCTAAGAAGTCTCTTTTTCTCTATTTTTTTTTTCTTTTTCTGCCTTTTTCTAAATTATAATTTAAGCTTTAGTGAAGCACCATGAGTTGGCCTAGGAGCCAATAAGGGACATGGTGGTATTCTACTTGGGATTTATTATACTATGAGTTTTCTTGACAATCAAATGTAGAAGGGTCAAACAGTTGTCCTTGTGAAGGGGGGCATAAGCTGGTCCGAACACTCATGGATATTAAAAAATGATTTCAAGCTTTTCTTGCGTTTGCCATGTATTTTTGTATGGCTTCTCTTCTTATGCTTTTATCTAACTGAATGAAAGTTGGTTTATATTAAAACAAAAATGCCCTTTGTAACTAATAATTGTAAAAGTAACAATTCTGACATTTGTGACTGTTGGAGGATATTAGTGGTTGTGCGGAAACTGAGACCTGGAGAAAGGTATGAAGTGTGAAATTGTAGTCTTAAGATAGTCTTGCCATCTAACGCTTATACCTTCCTCCTTCTCTGCTTGACTACTCTCTTTATGGATTATAGACAATTCTCTTGGTTGTTTTGCAAGTATAGCATGCGAGGAAAGTTTCCTTTTTCAGCACCAGCTTGGTGTGTCTCAAATATCACTACTCTCTGGTGTCAAACGATGTCATATGCGGTTGGCATGATGGAGAAATCTCTGAAAGGAACAATATTGGAAATTTAGCTTCATTTTCTTGAGACACGATTGTGCATCTTTCTGGAACATGATCACCAATATTGGAAAATTTCCTTCTTGCTTTCATTCTCCAGTCTCTTGAAAAATGGAATGCTAACCTGGGAGAATAAATAAAGTAGCTGAAGATCTCAGTATACTGTGGGTTCTGAAGTGGCCACTTCTTCGAGTTTTTAGGTTGTGTGGATAAGATACTCATCTTTATGGAGAGATTTCTGTTACAAACTAATTGCTAGAGCATTAAAGAGTATGATTATAACCGAATTCCCACTTTATTCTTTGATGCCCCGGCATCCATTTAACCTTACTTTATGTGTTCTTATCACTTTCACCCTTCCCATTATTGTTTAATGTATGCATTCTTAATCATTCAGTGAAGAATACGTAACTCTACTAATTAGTGATAGTTCTCATAGTATATACCACTTAACTAATGATATTCAAACACATGAGTATTACAGATGGATCTTGGTGTCGGTTCATTTGTACTGGCAAATTCATTAGTTTCTCAGCAGGCACGGAATGTCCCATCCACGTGAGTAATTAATTCCTTTCTCATCTTGTATATGTATGTATACATCTTCACTGCCTGATGGGTATTTAGTTCTATTCATGAGGTCATCACTCTCTCGAGAGCATTATGAGGTCTCTATGCAGTTATATACCTTGTATTCTTATTGATCAGCAAAGTTTTGAAACGTATGGTATAAGACAATCTCCAAAAAAATTGACATGCCATGGATGGGTATAAATAAAATTGTTCTACGAATTTTAACATGTAAATAATACTTAATTTACTGATAGGGAAAATGGATTCCTGCCTTAAAGCACTGAAATATATATTCCTCAAATATTAAACGTCAAACATGATTCCTTATATAAAGCTAGGACATGGGAGAAAAAAATCCTTAACAACTTTATGACTGAATCACTGCATTCAAGATACTCTTTATTGATTAATCTTGGATTTAAGACAAAGTGAACTAGAACTTGAATGAATGGCCATATGAACGAGGTTCCTAGTAGTACGTTTGCCTGACTTGGAGGGTTAGTAAACTCCATTCATCTTTCGTTATTTTACTCAAGTTATTTCCTTCTTCAACTCATATTAAATTATTGTGGTTACATTGTTTACTAATATGTGGAATTCAGCTGCAGAGCATTTCACAATTTGTTGTTCTTCTTTCTTTTTCAGAAAGCGAAAAGGTGCATTAAAATCTGTTTTTCCTCTTATCGTTCTTGGACTAGTTCGTCTTATTACTACTACTGGTGTAGATTATCAGGTAAGTTTGTTTGTTGGTTTTTCAATCACATTGATATATTAATGGCAAATGTAGCTGGAGTCTTTGAGATGAATTGCACGATTGCATATTATTAAGATTATGTTTCTGTATATTGAAATGATGGAAAATTTTCACACTAATAACTAGAATACCATGATGTGTTTTATTGAACATGATTGGAACATAATATATGCTATAGATTGTGCAATTGGAGGACATCCCTATTAGGCTAATTTCTTTCACTGTGTAATTGAAATATATTAAGTGTGAAGAGATCATAGAATATGTTAGCTATGAAATTTATTCTTATTGAAAAAGTCTGCGTTTGCCCAAGGCTGTTACCTGTAAAATATATTGCTCCACAAACAAACTCGCTGTTGACATATGGGGGCATAATTTATTTTTTTTTTCAATTTAAATTTTTATACGTGAAACATACCTTTCTGATGTTTGCTTGTAGGTTCATGTGGGAGAATATGGAGTGCACTGGAATTTCTTTTTCACACTTGCTGGTGTATCAATTCTTACCACTATCATTAATATTCCTCCACAATATTCTGGAATTTTTGGTACAACAATTCTAGTAGGTATAGTTCAAGTAAATTATATCTTGTTAGCAAGTATAATCTCAGAATCTATGTTAAGTTCATTAAGCATTTTGTTTTTCAGGGTACCAGTGTTGGTTGACGTATGGGTTAAATGCTTATCTTCTTTCAAATCAGAGGGGAACAGATATAATCAGCCAAAACAAGGAAGGAATTTTTAGCATATTTGGTAAGCATTACTTAAATTTGAGTATATATATATATATGCTGCATTTGAATAAAAGAACGAACTCAATCGAAGAACTACAATTGAAACAAGGTCAGGATTTGAAAGAAGAAGAACAAAAAACGAGATTTTTTTCTCAGGAAATCCAGAAACTCAAATCGAAATGGTCGAAAGCTTTGCTTTTGGTTGAATTTAGCTGTCGCTTGCTAATATGCTTGTTCGAGAAATTCCTTACTCTCTTCGATATTCTCAATGGATTCTGGATTTTTTTTTTTCCTTCCTGGGAAACCATAAACTTTTAATCCTCCTTGACTGTCACAGTGTGCTCAGTAATTGATCATTCCATTCGCAGGGTATTGGAGTATTTACCTTATTGGCGTGCAGTTGGGAAACTCTATCTTCTTTGGAAAAAATTCAACTGCTACGCTAAGGAGCAATAGAAGAGCAAGGATAATAGTTTGGATACTTGCTCTTTCCTTTTGGTATTACTCTATACCTTAGCTCTGCAAGATTTTTTCTTTTCAGGAAAAGAATGCCTGAATGGATGTTAAAGTTCTAAAACATATCTTAATGCCTGTGTCAGGATGGCAACCTTGCTTCTGGATTCCTATGTTGAGAGAGCTTCTCGAAGAACGGTAAAGACATGTCTCTGCTAAGCCATCTCTTTACATTCATAATGGTTTTCATAAAACTAGTTAAATCTATTTTTGCAGTGCAACCTGGCATACGTTAATCTGGTACTGGCACAAAATTTACAGGTTCGAACTCCTTTTCGTTTTCCTACCACCAGAAAAACTTTATATTTAGGACTCATTATCTTGAAACGAAGAACACTGCTACTGGCCATTCTGGTATGGCATATTTAAGGAGGTTGGATCCAGAATAGAATGATTTATCGTTGCATGTTCATTGATTTTCTTTCTCATAACCGAATAGGATAAATGATATGTATGCCTCTGAATTTCACTCCAAAACTCGGAAGTAGTCGAAGAGAGGGTAGCTTTTGCGCCATGATCGAGAAACTTATAACAACATTATTTTACAGGTTTTGGCAATACTAATGCTTTCTAGTTATGTTACTGGTAATGGAACTTCTGTTCTTGAAGAAGCGTTCAACAGCAATTTATTGGCTGCATTTCTTTTGGTAACATCTCTTCCATTTCCATCCTTTTGTATGCCTTTTCTATCTCTTTTCCATTTTTCATTATCTTTTTCTCCTTTCAGGCAAACTTGCTCACTGGGTTAGTTAACTTGTCTGTCGATACCCTGTCCACGTCATCCATCTTCGCTTTATTTATTTTGCTTGCGTATGCATTTACTTTATCGTCGCTAACGGGACTGGCCAAGTTCTATGGCATTAGGCTGAAGTTTTGGTAGGCAAAACAATACCAATCTTATTGTTGTCGTGTTCTTCTATGTTTAGATATCTTTGAAGCAGCAAAATATCTAAGGGACAATTTTGTAAAGGTAAACTTTTGTTGGAACTAGCTTGTGTTCATCTAAACTATTCTCATCAAACAGGTAGTCAGGTAACTCATAGAATATTAAATCTGGTCTTAGTGTGCTGAAGGTCAATAATTACGATTATCTGCACATAATAGAAGCTATCTAAGGTATCATCGTTTGAAATTACCATTATTGCTCCCATTTTCTTGCCATTAAAAACAAAAAAAAGTTAAAATTACATTTATTTTGGCTCCAACTTGGCAGATGAAGACTGTAAGCCCACTAGCATAAGTGATTTGGGCTCAAATTCAGCCCTGCGGAGTTGAGAGATTATTATTTTTGGGCTTAAATCATTACGGCCCAGTAGTTTTTAGAACATTAAATAAACAAAGGTAATTGAAGGGTAGTTTTGTCATTATCAGCATTTTGTAAATAATGCACATCGTCGATGTTTTTTTTTTCTCGAGTTAAACGAAACATAAAATGGGCAAGAAAATGAAGAGGATATCGTCGATGTTTTTGTTTTCCTAGTTTTTTTATACTCGTTTATGCTCTTAAAAGTCGAAAATGGTTATCTATATGATTTATGATCAATCTTTTATATGGGTTTGTGCAAAAATAAAGAAATCATAAACGTTTTTTTGTTTATAAAATCTAAATACTTAAGAATTTATCTTTTTATCTATTTATTTATTTATTCATTGCATGAATTATCCATTTCCATCATTATTGGACCCCACAGAAAGTAGATTGTCGGAATGGGCCAAAGCCCATATGGCCCATAGAATGTGTCTCTTTTCCTGGATGTCCCACCAGTTGTCAGTAGGGACGTTAAAATCCAATGACGAAACTACCCTTCAATAATGTTTCATTTTCAATAAATATTAATATTAATTCACACTATTAATTTTTATCAAAAATTGTTAAATTATAATCACAATTTATTAGTTTATTATTATAATAATAAGGTCCATTTTATTTTTATTTTATTTTAGTTTTCTATTCTCTTTCTAAAAATTTATTTGGTAAGATATTACTTTTTCTTTTAAATGCATTTGAATTATTCATTTTTTAAGGCTTAAAAATTGTGCTTAATTTCAAAAATGTCTTTAATGAATATATTTTAAAAATATAATTATCAAACAAAATCTTAACGGATAAATTCTAATCGGTCAAAGGGATTTCCATTATAATTCAAATCCATTTCATCCTTATTTTTCTTTTAAAGAATAATATATATATAATAAATATCTTTTCACAAAAAAAAAAAATAATAATAAATATAAAAAAGGTTAGGTTTATAAATAAATGACACAATAGAACAATCATTTTCATAGCTTTATAATATTATAAATAAATGGAATTATTTCTCTCTCTTAGCTAATTAGGTAATGTTTTTTTACCCAATATGCTAATAATTACCATGATAATTAAGCATGCCAAATAACATCAACTATAATTAACCCATACACATAATTAATTTAACGGGTATTTTTGCTTTCAACCTTGCAACGTCGTAATCTTGACACGCTCACACCAGCTTCAAGGGATCTCAAACTTTATATATATTTTTTGCCCCACTTTGTTGTTTCGTTAGACATTAGGTGATGCTTGTCTTCACCGACCTAACATCGATGGTGCAGAATTCAAGCTTGTTCGACTTGCACGTGCATGTTTAATCGTATGTGACACAACCGGCTTACCTCTTTTAGGGTTTGAAAAATTATAAATGGGAAAAGCTAACTTTTTTATTATTATTATTTTTATGTAATTTTTATTTTCTCCAATCCCAAGGTGGGACCCACATTCCATTTTAGAGTGACAAACCAATTTAGTGATTTAATTATTAAATTTGTCAAAAAGTGCTTTTTAAATAGAAAATAAATGGGTTTGGAAAGAAACATATGAAATAATTAAAAAGGAAAAAATATATATTTTTTTTAATGTGTATTCCTACTAAGCTACCACAAAAAAAAAAAAAATCCATTAAAAAGCTTTATTATTCTATTTAATTACAAAATTACCCTTTATTTACTCGAACAAACAATCAAGTTTAGAACGTATCAACCGAATGATAGAAGAAGTTCGTGTATAAATTGGTAATTATCCTGAAACTAATATTTAATTAATTTGCATTATTTAATTTAATTTGTTAATAAATAAAAAAAATGGATGAAAATGAGAAGAATATATAAGGACAAAGAAGTCAATATCAATAAATAAATAAATAAATAAATATATATATATATATATATATATATAGGGTTTATTAAATTAAGAAGTTATGTGCAAAGTTGAATGAAGTATTAAAAATATAAGAAGTTATGTTATGAATTGAAAATGACATTAAATTTTGATAATTTTAGGTCTTATTCTTCTCATTAATGCAACCTACCTTATTTTAATTTTTTTACGCTTTTATTTATTTCTTTATTTTCTCGAGATTTACTTTATTTCGATTATTTTTGCTAATTTGAGCATAGTTGAATCCGTATATGACCCTGATCAAACCAAATAATAGCGGGTGAATCAAATATGTAATAGTCCAAGCCTACCACTAGCAGATATTGTTCATTTTAGCTCGTTACGTATCATCGTTGACCTCACGGTTTTAAAAGTTGTTTGTTAAGGAGAGGTTTTTAAATGGTATTAGAGTCAAACACCGAGCAGTGTGTCAACGAGGATTCTGGGCCCTCAAGGGAGGTGGATTGTGAGATCTCACATTGGTTGGAGAGGAGAACGAAATATTCCTTATAAAGGTGTGGAAACCTCTCTCTAACAAACATGTCTTAAAACTTTGAGGCTGATAGCGATTCCTAACATACCAAAACGGACAATATTTGTTATCAGTGGGCTTGGGATGTTACAGGTTTTCATACTCTTATAAGGAATATTTCATATAGTAGCTTTAGCACAATCTGCATGTGTGAGACCTTAGGGTGATCTCCGTTCGGTTGCACACAACCCCTTCCTAGACGGTTGTAGAGATCGTTTGCGTATAGACCTGAACACCAACAAACAATTTGTTATTTTATCTCTCTAAAATAAAACTAAGAAGCAAACAACGAGGCTGTTCGTCCTATTCAGATATTCATGACCAAAAAACACTGGATTCTCTTCGAGTAGCCGTTTATTATTGAATTCACCGGACCCGATAGTACCCCATTTTTGGAACATCCAGTGCTCTTAACTATAGGACTATGTTCGAGTTGACAAATATTAAAATTTTTAATTAAATTAAATAGTGTAACGTACCCAATAATTATGCGCGTGACCCCTTATATATCGAAATAATTGTAAACATGTAATGCATATTCATATGAAAATTAATTAAGGCTTTTTAATGTCTAACTAACCAATAATAGACTTTAAACTGTCATATAAACAGTGTTTTTTTTTTAATTATTAAAAAGAATATTCAAGGACAAATATTATTTTTTAATTAATCTTTTAATTTTTGGGAATTAATATTTTCTTTATTATTAATTGTGATGTATATAATTATATATTTTAATATAGTGTCCCTCTAACTTCAAACTCTTATTTTTTAATTTAATTTAATTATTTAAAAATAAGATGATGAAATAAAAAATAAAATAAAAATAAAAATGTCACATCTTGGATTTGATAAGTATGAAATCATAGAGACCACTCAAGCCTTATAGTGGAGTAGATTTATATTAAAGCGACAGCCAATGACTTGTTGCCACGTGTTATTTCCAAGTCGGCATTCCCCACAAGGAAAAGGAATAAAAATAATAAAAAAGGGGTAATTATTCATCAGATATTTAAAAAAAGCCACGTGATCAATGTGTCGCAGTCCACAACTTGGCAGTTTTTGACGAAGATAATGATGATTATCTTTTTATTTTGGCCTTAATTAATTTTTATTTTCTCCATTTCTCAAAAAAAAAAAAAAATACAAATTCCAAATTTTTCGTTAGGATAATTATAATTTTTAAAATGTTTATAAAAAATTAACGCTAATAATATATTTTTTTTTAATTATTAGAGAAATTTTTTTGATGTTGTGTATGTGTGAGATTTTATATCCGTTGGAGATAAGAATGAAACATTTCTTACAAGGGTGTGGAAACTTCTTCTTAACAGGCTAACGGCGTTATGTAACAGGTCAAAACTGACAATATCTTCTAGCGATATGCTTGAGCTGTTACAGATGGTATCTGAACTAGTCACTGAGCGATGTGTCAACGAGGATGATGAGCCTCCAGGAGGTGAGTTGTGATATCTCACATTAGTTGGACTTGAGCTGTTACAGATGTTATGAAAGCCAGTCATGAGGCTGTGTGCCAACGAGGACAATGAGCCCCCAAGGGGTGAGTTGTGAGATCCCACATTAGTTGGACTTGAGCTGTTACATATGCTATCAAATCCAGTCACTGAGCGATGTGCCCCCAGAGGGTGAGTTGTGAAATCCCACATCAGTTGGATTTAACTGTTACAAATGTTATCAAAGCTAGTCACTAGACAGTGTGCCAACGAGGACGATGGTCCCCCAGGGGGTGAGTTGTGAGATCCCACATCGGTTGAAGGGAGAAACGAAACATTCCTTATAAGGGTGTGAAAACTTCTCCCCAAAAAACGCGTTTTAAAAACATGAGGCTAACGACAATACTGGCCAAAACAAACAATATCTATTAGTAGTGGTCTTAGGCTATTACAATATGACTTGTTGCTTCATAGTTCTTCCGTATATACTACATTGTATTAGGTTATTAGGGGTCGGTCATTTATATATTGAAGTTTTAGCTACGTTTGTTGGCTCGGGTTTGTTGTTTAAATTAAGTGAATTAATTGTTTGAGTATGAAAGGAGTCTTCCTTCAATTATATAAGAGAAATTGATTCCAACAACTATATGAACATTTTGTCAAATGAACAAAGTTTACATTAAAGTTTCTATAAAATAACTAGACGAGACTATAACCATTTGGTAACTTTCAAAGTCAAAATGAAAAAATAAATACAAAACAAAATAATAATTTC